CTGGCACACCACACAGGATGCACTAGGCCCTTGCTCAGAGCTGCTGGGAACAGACCCAGGGCCCCAATTCCTTCTCCAGGAAGTGGGAAGGACAGGATCTGGCTCTAACCTAGTGTTCTTGCTTCCTTTCACGTGGGGATTCCCTCGTCAGAGCTCTTGCTCATCCTCACTCCTTGGCTGGCCTGACACCCCTGAAAGCAGAGGCTCACAGAGGCACAAAGAAGATTTCATCTGTCTGGCTCTCAAGGACACCCACAGGCCTGGTCCCTGAGCCACCTCTCACAGGCTCATGCTCCTCTGGCCCCACCTGAGCTGCTGAAGGAGAAACACCCTTCTCAGGATGCCCTCCTTCTCCAACACGGGTCAGAGGGAGCTGTGCGAGGCACACTGACTTTTAGAGAACAGCCTGAACCAGGCCCCGTCCCCTCAGAGTGTCATCTGTGCATACTATGGACACGAACATGGCTGTGGTCTGTGCCCCACCAGTGCCAGGCACTGGGGTGTGTCAGCTCAGAACTCGCTGTCGAACAGAGGCACGCCTGCAGCCCAAGACTGTGAGCACCATAGCAGCCCAAGACCAGAGCCTGTGCAGAGACCCAGAGCTTTGGATCCCCTGTATGTCTCTGGAGGCAGCTTTGCCTGAGACCTCTGCCCTGTAAGTGGGGACAGTGGGGATGGTGAAGCCAGCAGCCCAGGGTTTTCAGGAAGATCAACTTGGCACATGGCAGGAGCTGTGAAATAAAAGGAAGGAGGTTCCTGATGCTGAGCCAGTAACCCCGTCTGATGAATCCCAAAGCCAACAAGCTGGTCCTGCAAACTGACTGTGAGCCAGACAGGTAAGTGCTGCCCAGGGGCAAGGGGAGCCCATACCTTAGGCTGGGTGCTTCAGGGCCTTGAGAGGTGGCACCCACTGGAGGCCTCATCTCAGACGTGGGCCCTGAAGGACCCATGTTTGAGATATGCCAGACCAGGATTGAAGGTTTCAGGAAGCCATGGGCCAGCCTGCTGGGGAAGGGGTTCGTGCTCAGGGGTCTGCTAGGCCCCAGGAGAACACTGCTGACGGGTATGAACACGTGTCCAGAAAAACTTACAAAATGGAGAACTGAAAGTTGGCCCTTCTCCCACGCAGCCTGGCCCATGGGCCATACCAAATGGAAGGGAAAGGGGGCGCATTCTGGGATGTACCACTGGCTTCCCCTATCACTGCCTCTGCATGGTAACCCCAAGTCCAGAGAAAGGCTCAGGACCCTGTGTGGACAGAGCAGTCTCAGCAAACTGCCTCACCAAGGTTAATATCATACACTGAATATTGGGGGAGAGGGGTGCTCACACTTAAATTCTCAGAATCCTTTCTATCACAGAGTGTGTCTTGTGGAACTAGGATTGCATGGACATTGTGCAAGGCATCAACTATTTATTATAAGATGACAATTTTCTCTCAGCTTAATCTATAAATCTAAGCAATCCCACTTGCTACAAAAACAGGGTCAGGGAAGTAGATATGCCGGCCTGAGGCTGAGAAAGAAAAACAACCTGCAGGAGTGAGAAGAGGAGACAGGCCTCCAGACCTCAGTGATGAAGCCAGTGGAGCTCGGACTACCTGGGATGACAGCCTAGAATAACCCACATGCAGGCCAGGGCTCAGCGTGCCATAAAAATGGCACTTCAGTGGGGAAAGATGGCTTCTTCAGAACATGCGGGGCAAATGAATTGGGAAAAAAGCAGTTTGGGTTCCTACCTCACTCCTTCTGAGGAGTACTTTCTACAATTAGACCAAAATTTAAATGTTTTTTTAAAAAAAGAAACCATTACATTTCCAGAAGAAAACATCAAATGTTACATAATCTTGGAGTACAGAAAATATTTCTCAGCATGACCCAAAATGCAGAAGCCACAAATGAAAAAACTAATAATAACTAATAAAAACTTTAAATGCCTGGCAAAAAATAAATCTTAAAGACAAAAACAATCCAAGTCAAAGACAAAATGACAGATCGGGAAAAAACACTTTTAACAGACAATGGGCTAATTGCCTTACTATTGAAAGTGTGCCTAGAAAAGAGTAACACCAACAACCCAACAGAAAAATGGCAAAGAATATGAAATACAAACAGGTTTTAAATATGGGCATGTTTATAATAAATACAGATCTTTCCAGTTTCAAAACTGTAGAAATGATCAACATAAAAAAATAAATCTGCTCTGGCTGGTGTGGCTCAAGTGGATTGAATGCCAGCCTGCGTGCGAACCAAGAGGTGGCCAGTTCAGTTCCCTGTTGGGGCATATGCCTGGGTTGCAGGCTAGGTCAGGTCCCATTTCTCTCCCTCTCTTCCTCTCTGTCTAAAATAAATAAAATCTTTAAAAAAGTAAATCTGACAAAAGCATTGAGATCCACTATACTTCTAGGAAACACGAATAAAGCTACAATGAGACACTATTTTATGCCTACCAGCTTGGCAAGATCAAGTAATTGAAAATACCAGCCCCTTCCTTTTTTGGGAGGGGGACAATTTGGTACAACCCGCTAAGAGATTATGTACCCAGTTAGAGATGTATGGAAAGCCTTTTCATCCTGGGACTTCTGCACCAAGAAATTCGGTCCACAGAAATATTCCTACTTGGCTACAAGTATAGTCAACCTAGCATTGCTTGCTACAATACTGGAAAGAACCTAAATTTCAACCAACAGGAAACAGGATAAATACACAGTACTAATAAAATATGGTACAGCCATTAAAACAAATGAGTTCATAGAAAACACTTTCCAAAGAGGGATCACGTGAACGACGAATGACATTTTCTACAAATGCATTAGATATACATGCATAGACTTTCTTTGTCGATACATGAGAAACTGGTTTATTTCTGCCCCAGGAGAGGGGGAAAGAGGCCATGGAGGTTCGAGATGGGAATGACACCAAGTTTTCACCCGACACCTTTCATACTCTGAATTTTTCACTCTGTGCATCTGAAAACATTTTTGTTCAGTGTAAGCAGTTGCTTTGAACTTGCTGTTTTGCGGGGTCCTGACTCTCAGTAAATCTACATTCTGATAGGATGAAAAGACAACATGCTCTGTGACAAGTGCAGCGCCAGGGCTCAGTGGGAGCGTAGGGCTGAGAGGGTCAGGAGGAGGGTTGCTTTGGAGAAGCAAGCAGCTGAAGAGGCTGACAGGAAGTCAGGCTTGTTGAAAAGTTATCTCCGCTGGTGTCCTCGACAGAAGACCAGGGCTTAGTGAGGATTAATGTCAGGCTCAAAGACCAGTCTTTGCAAATGTCCTAGGGTGCGAAGGGCAACCTAGAGCTAGGGTCACAGAGGTTCTCAGATCTAATGAGTACACATCTCACGTTCAGTCTGGCTTCTAAAAATGCCCCATATTATCAAAAATGACTCTAGACTCCCAGCCAGAGGGGTCTGCGGAGCTCGGGAGGGACGAAGGCAGTAGCAGCTTCCCCGCACCACTCCCAGGCCAGGGCACTTTCCAGTGATAGACAGGTGGTAAGGGGCTCCATAGGCTCAAGGACTGGGTTGCCCAGAGAGGCCAGGATAGTCAGGCAAGCCTGAATGGACGGCAGTGGGAGGGGTCGATAGGAGAGATGTCTATAGCGTGACCCCCGGTGAGTCACCTCCCGTCTGACAGTGACAACTGTAGTACTCTTTATGCGCCTGGCGGGCCATTCCAAGCTCTCTGAGCACCCAAGTCCCTCATTCCCAATTAGGAGCAACACAAAGCTCTGCGGAGCAAAGTACCAGCAGGCCAAACGCAGCCGGACTAACGGAGAGCAATCCACCGCAACCTGATCCCGCTCGGTGTCAACGCTGAGACCGGCGGAGGCGCCGGTACAAGGCGGAACTGCGTGCGGCCCGACCCTGCGGCACCGCGTTCTGCACATAGGGAGGTCGAGGAGAGCGAGGACGGGAGGAAACCGTCGGGAGTAGCAGAAAGGACAGGGGCCGGCAGGGCGGGGTTCGAGCCGCCGCCACTTACCGGCGAGGCAGGGGCCTCCTCCACCATCGGCCGCTTCCGGGAGAGCGCCACACCACTTCCGCTTCCTCCCCGATCGCGCACTTGACGCCAGCTCTCACGGCCGCGCCGCGTCGCCTCTACTCCAGGCTGAGGCACCGCCCCGCCTCTTAAAGGAGTCGCGCAATGCCCGAGGTCTCGGACTAGGGCCTGGGCTGCTCAACCAAGTCCTCCCCCCGCCACAGCCCGGTCTCAACACAAGCTAAGCCGTCGCCCGACCCAGGGGTGGACGATAGGTTACTTGTCCCAGGAAACCCTCTGGGCCTGGGAGTGAGCTCAGCCTGCCCCTGAGGTCGAGAAAGACCCCGGAGTTCAAGGGCACCTCAAGCGAATAGAGCTCAAAGGGCCTGAGGCGTGTTGCAGAAACCCAGCCCCGGGTGGTCCCTTTTCCTGGGGGACACCCCATTAGACCTGCCACTGCCCTCCCCCCTGGCTTTAGCCTCCCCATGTGCAAAGTGACCTGGACCGTCCTCTCAGGACCCTGGAAAGCTGTGTTGGCCCTCTGTGCAGCCCGTCCCCCAGGACAGGCGGGACAGAAGAGCAGCCTTGTGATTGCATCGTCCTTAATCTGCTCTGAGACCGATTGCGCGATATCCTTATCCATCATGGAAACTGAATGGTGCCCCAGAGCAGGACAAGACCAGACCGCTGCGGCAATACCCCTCCCAAGGTTGTCTTTGTAAGAAAAGGAGCACTTCGCTCTCTCAGAAGCCGTGCCCAATCTAGGCAGGGAGGGTCCTGGGTTCAAATGCTGCCCACCCCGCCACCACCACATGCAACCAGTAGCCATAAGGGTGTTCTGGTTGGGACCCTACCTCCTCTTCCACAAGGGAGAGTGACAATGGTACCTGCATTTGTGCTGAACTTTCCTGAGTATTTGGGGGCAAGCCCAACACCCTCTGAGAACTCACTGAGCTCTAGAGAGAGCATACAAGAGCCATGAAAGCAAGAGACCTAAAATTTTAAATCTTTTAATTTTTCACGTTTTCCTTTGTTTTGCTTCCAAAAGGAAAGGAGAGCGTTGCTCTGTCACTTGTACATCGTCCACAGCCCCTGGGCCAGGGCAGCTCCGACCCCACTGCCCGCCAGCTGCCTCGGGGGCCTGGGGCGCCCGGGGGTTCACATGCAGCCCCCGAGGCCAGGGCTGGCGCTTATTGCTGAGATCTGTCCCGGCTTGGCTTGGGGTGCAGTAGCTCCACTAGACGCGCTGGTTGGGCAGCTCCTGGGAGATGAACCGGCGCAGGCGCTCCAGGTACTGGCTGTAAAGCTCAATGTCGTTGTGCCCGGCGCCCTCCACCCACAGCGGCTCCACAGCCTTGGGGCACCGCTCATAGAGTGCCAGCCCGTGCGAGAAGTCGATCACTTCGTCCTCCGTGCCGTGGATGATAAGCACCGGTGATGTGATCTTGGACACTTTCTCGATGCTGCAGGGTGGGCGGCGTCAGGCCTCCACGCCCCGCGCCCGCCGAGGCCCCGCCCCCGCCCAGGTCCCCAGGGCCTCCCAGCGCTCACTTGGGGAACGCATCGAAGCAGTAGGTCTTCTTGGTGTCTGGGAAGGCGACGCGCATGCCGGAGGTGAGTGGGGAGTGCAGCACCACCGCGGCACACTCGTAGCGCGAGGCGAGGTCCACAGTGGGCACTGTGCCGATGCTCTGCCCGTACAGGACGATGCTGTCCGGACTGATGCCGTACCTGGCGGCAGGTCAGGGTCAGCGGCAACCGCAAGACGTGCCTCCTACAGCCCGCCCTCCTTGGGCAATTAGGTTCCCCATTCTCCTTGGACAGCCTATAGGCAACTAGGCTAGTCCCAGGGACCCTCCCCTGCCCCCCAAAAGAGGCGTCCACTTAGTAGGGAAGTAAGGCCCTGGGCAGGCGTTTCGACAGCCGCCCCCTATCGACCCTCCCCCACTGCATTGCACTGGAGCCCCAGGTCACCTAGCTCTACCCTGAGTTTCTCCAACAGGATCTACTTTGTCATGCGTGGGGAATGCACCTGGTGAGGGTCCTACAAAGGCTGCTGCAGGCAGTGTAGCCCTGGGGCCTCTCCTGCCCCTCCTGGTCACCCAGTCAACCCCCAACCCTACACACTTGACCAGGGCCACACCCAGATTCAGCTTTGGGTTTCTCCTGTCCTTGCTGTTGTAGATTAGATCATCCTTCCTGGTATTGGGGTGGGGGTGGAGGAGATTTGAAAGGGAGGGGCGTTGTCTTTCTCTGTACATCTGTACCCCTTACCTCTTTGCTATGGGAAATTGAGGCAGCTGTTCCCATGTCTCACTCCTTGGTGTCCCCCATGACCCATTAGGTGCTTAGTACACAATGGTAAGAAAAACATCCACTGCTGTGGGGAGGTGGATGGGTGCTAACTCTTTCTCCCGGCACCTTCTCTACATAGCAGCCAAGTCCTGTGCCTTTTTCCTTGGCACCAACTCCTACCATCAGGCCTCAGCCCGAGCTCCTTCCCTTACCCTGCCACCTCTCCACATGCCTCTGCTAGGGTTTCCCCACAGCCTAGCTAATCCAGCTCCAAACCACCGACATACTTGTTCCTGACCACATAGGGACCTAATCACCACCCTCCCCATGCAGATGGCCTCCAAGGCTCTCCAACCCACCTGACCCCAATCCCAAAGGGACACCTTCTTCCTGGTGGATAGGAGCCAGGACAGTTCTGTACATCACCTGGGAAACACACCTGGGAAGCCAGACTCCACCTCCCAGTCTGCAGGGGTATTCCCACCTGTCCTTGTCCTGGTAGCACTCCATGTTAACCCCGGCCTACCCCAGGCCTCAGGGATGCCACCTGGCCCTGTGCCTACCACCCTGGCCACTCCTCCCTAGCCTGCTCCCAGGTTCCCATGGCCACTCATCACTGTGCTGAGCGCCAGCCCAACTCTATCACCCAGCTCCAAGTAGGGATCCCCAGCATCCCCTGCACATCTACACCTGGGTAAACTCAACAGGTGTCAGATGGAGCAGCTCTTCTCCCCCAGGTCTCCCCAGCCCCAGGCACTGCTTAGGCCCAAGCCTTCTTGCTGCCTCTAAGCTGTTGGAGCTGAGTGACCAGGACTCAGGAAGTCAATGCTGGTGACAGGACAGACGGACAATGGACAGAGCTCAGAGCCTTCACTCCACAGCAGGGTGTGATTCTGCCAGCAAGCCCCAGCGTGAGCAGGAAGGCCTGAGGCAGCCAAGGGCAGGCACGTACCTATACCACACCACCCAAGACAAGTCCCTGGTGCCAGGGGACCCTGTTCCCAGGGACTGCCCAGTGCACCATGGGCCCCATCTCCCCAGGGCAGGCTGACTTTGATCCCTGAAGGAGAGGGTCTGGCTGGTAATCAGGCAAGGCTGAGGTGGGGCATCCCCCAGCAGTGGGAAGGGCTCCACCTCCAGGAGGGCCAGGGTTGGCCTTCTAGAACAGTGCTGGGCACAGGGCAGCATGCTGCAAATGCTGGCTCAGAAACTGTGAATGTGCTTCAGTGAGTACTAGGGAGGGAGGAGCTGCCCAGTATCTAGATGACCAGGACGGTGGAGGTCCTGAGTCAAACATGTGGGTATGTCCTCTACTCACTGACCTCCCACCGGCCACCAGAGCTCTGCTGGGCACCAAGGGGCCCAAAAGAACCCTCTAGGCCTAGAGCAGCCCCACCCTCACCCCGTCCCCAGGATGAGGCCAAGCTCCCCAGCCACAAGTGCCTTATAGGCCCATCCCCAGAACCCAAATGCAGTGTAGCCCAGCCCCACCCAGTAACCCATGTGCTCCCTCAACCTTGGGATTCCCACAGTTCATTCACACAACCCTCACATTCTACTTCCTGGGCCCAAGTCCTCTGCCTACCACTCCCTCCGGGGGGAACCTCCACTCCCCTGTGGACAGCCCCAGCCCGCCCCCACCCCTGCCCAGGGAGGTTTGAGGACTGCCCGTACACCAAGCATGCCTGTTACCATGCTGAGGGGACATGGGTCAAGCCTCACCTTCTGGACCACTGAGGCTGCTGAGGGCTCCTCTCCAGCACGGCCACCCACTGGGACCTGGCCCAGGCTTCCTCCCTCTCCAAGGAGGCTGGCCCAAGTCCCAGGTGGGCACCTTCCAACCCTCCCTGCTTCAGAGGGTCTAGTTCCCTCAAGGGGACAATCCAGGTTGACCAAGTCCCCAGCACACAGCTCACCTAGTGCGCAGGGCCTGCCAGGCAGCATCAATGTCGGCGTAGAGGTTCTTCTCGGAGGGCCTGCCCGAGCTGACACCATAGCCCGAGTAGTCATAGGAGAAGATATTACAGTTGATGCGTGTGCCCAGGCCAATGTAGAAACTGCTCATCTGGCCCAGGTCCACCGCATTTCCATGCGAGAAGAGGACTGTATACCTGAGGGGGTGGGGGGAGACAGGTCAGAGGGCAAAGGAGGGAGGGGGCTACCCCAACCCAGGAAGGGACAGGAACACTGACAAGGGGGATAGGCTGCCTGTGCCACAAAGTGGCCCAGCTCCTCCTGCTTATGTGCTCTCAGGCAGGGGACAGCCAGCGAAGCCTAGGCTTCCCCTCTGTGAAAGGGGGCACTGGGACCATTGGTCACATTCTAAGTACAGGGTGGGCCCAGCCATCTCTCCTTGGGTGTTCCTTTTGGAGGGATTCGAACAGCCCCTGAGGATGTCAGGCACATGGGATGGCTGCTCAGGGCTTTCCTGGAGAATGAGACAGCTTCTCCATTGGCAGGGTTATGCCCTCTCTTCCAGACAGCTGGCCCCCCTCCTGCTTCACAAGCACATAAAGCCAACCCTGCTCACAGTGGTGTGGGTCTCCCTCTCCTGCAGAAAATGACCTTGGCACTCATTCCAGCCCTGTGTCTCATTGCGGTCCTGCCAAGCTGCTGCTAGCAGGGCCTGCCCAGGTCCTGACAACAGCAGGCAACCTGGTGTCTCCAGGCCGATAAGGCTCCTGGAGTTCCCTTCCTCCAACACCACTGGGTCTCAGGCTCCCTACTCCCACCATGCCAGACTGGCCCAGAGGAAAATTGAGAGTTCACCCTTTGGACTTCGACCTGGAATCAAAACCTGCCTGGTCTGAGGCAGAAGCACCTGGAAGGTCTGCCTCTGCCCCACCCCTCAGGCTCAGGGAAGAGCTCTGCTCGCAGGTCCTGAGGTGCCCAGTTAATGGGGAGCCAGACTGAGCATGAGTCACTAGCTGGCCTCGGGTACCAAGACTTCACCGAGCATCTGAGAGACCACGCTCCTTGTTGAGCAGGTTCTGTGACACAGCCACTTGAAGCGACTTCCCTGAGCCCTGGGGTCTTCATCTGCAAGACTGGGTGCTGAGAGGCCCCCTCAGAGCTGTGCATGGAAGAGCACACAGCATTAAGGGCCCAGGGGACTGGACAGAGGCCGTCAACAAAGTGAAGCCCACCCTTAGAGGCTCTAATCTGCCAGCCCTTGGCAAGAAGAATCCCCAGGCACCCCCTGGGCTTTCATCCCGCTCTGGCCCTCCAGGGCCCCTGAGGATGAACACAAGATACTCCCCAGATTCTGACCCCTCCATTCTTCCAGCCTCCAGGTCTGTCCAAGTTGAGTCTTTGAAGCTAACCTGGCTCCGGGCACACAGCGCACATACATGCAGGCAATGCGGTTGCCACGGCTGCTCTTGGTCAGGAAGACCTCAACAGTGTCCAGCTCGCGCTGGCTGTACTGGAAATCAGAGCGCTCCATCAGGTGGAGCTTCCAGCGCCCAGGGGTGCCTGTGGAGGTCCGCAGGGTCCCCGTGGGGGTGGTCCCGACCCCACCAGGCCTAGGTTCAGGCTCAGGCACCAGCGAGTAGGTGGGCTCTGGAGGCAGGAAGGCGAGCTTGGCGGCAATGCGACCAGGGCAGGGTGGGCAGCAGAAGAGGCAGCACAGCTCAGTCACGGACAGGCCGTTCATGGTGGGCACCAGGCCCCAGGGCAGGCCTCACTTAGCAGGGGAGGGGTGGAGATGCTCCAAGATATGGGCGGGGAGGGGCAACCCCCAGCCACTGCCCCAGACAAGAGCCCTGTTAGGAGGCAGCAGCCCAGCCCCATCGCGGTCCAAGCCGAGCCCTCGGGAGCCTTGCAGCCTCACATCTCCATGTTGTGCACAGGGAAGCCCTGCAAAGAACAGAGACGTGTGAGATCCCCCAGGATACCACCAGAGGCAGGACTCAATCTCGCAAGGCCCAAGGCTCTTGGCCTTCCTCAAAGCCCAGTCCACCTTTTCCTGCTCAGGCTACTCCATCTTCTGCCCCATGGACCTGTAAGCCCAGCTTGCCCTCTGGGGGGACCACATAACTCCCAAAAGCTGACCTGTCCCCACCTGCTACCACCCTTCCTCAGCTTGCGGTCAACAACTCTTGCCCTTTAAGCCCATTTGTCATTCTGGTCATGGCCTGATGTTTCTGCTGGGCAAGCAAACCCCTGGTCCACCCTAGCTCTCCTCCCCTCTGCTCTGGGCCCAGGTAAACCCTGTCACCACCACCCCCATGCTGCTGTCTAAAAAGCTGGCCCACACTCTCCCCCCTGCCCATCTCCATGCTATCCTTGAAGGATCCAACTGCCACCCTGAGGTGACACAAAGCAGCCAAGGACCAGAGGGACCCAAGAGCACGCTGACGGGGCTGGGCCCACCTCAGGACATGCAGCAGGCCTGTGATGTCCAGAGACAGAGGAGCTAAGGCAGAGGAAACACAACAAACAAAGGCTCTGGGAACAAAAGCAGGATACATCTCAGGCTAAAAGCTGAACAATGGCTCTCCCCTGTGCTGGGTGCCAAGCCCAGGGAACAGGCTGCTGAGGGTGTTGGGGTCATGGGAGCTGGGGCTCCTCCTCCAGCTCTGCCAACTTCGGGGTCTGGGACCTTGGGCAAGTGGATTACCCTCCCAGGGCCTCAGTTTCCTCATCCATCAACAAAGACACCACTCACCTCACAGGGCTAGTAAATGAGATGAGGGGTTTAGTGGTGGGCAGCAGGGGATGTGGCTCAGAGCAGAAGCTCAAATGTTCTTCCTCTTAGCAGAGCGTTGTAAAACACTGTATTAAATTGACTATGACTAAATTGCCAAAGCAAGCACCATCATATACAGAGCTACCAACAGAGAGACTAGGAAAACATAGGTTTGAGGAAACCTGACCACTTACACGTTCCCTACAGAGTGGACCAAGGGAGGGAGACACACATCACTCAGCTTTAGCAGCAGAGTACCTTGGCACATTCAATTCTGAAGCCACAGCATTTGAAAACCACTGGGCCGTGGACATGCGAATTCAGAGTTCAGAGAAGTGTGAGGTCCAGAACACCTGATCCTTCTAGACCTGTGACCTGAGAATAAGGGCTGAAAAGAGCCACATCCAGCTGTCTCCCGGATTCAAGGCAGAGAGGAGTGAGAGAGCTGCAAATGCCAAGGTGGAGACGTGGACGGCTTCCAGGAGTCCCTGAACTCCCAGGCAGGATGCACACTTTATGTGCAAGTACAAGGAGAAGGTTTATTGTACTGGTTCCCAGATGAAGGAGAGTTTACCCTCACCAGGGACACTTGCCAATGTCTAGAAACATTTTTGGTTATGATGATTGGGGAAGGGAGCTCCTGGAATTGAGAGGGTAGAGGCCAGGGATGCTGCTTAATACCCCACAGGGCAACCCTCATGAAAGAATTATCTGTCCCCAAATGTCAACCAACATATTCTCAGAAAGGTCCTAGCCCCAACAGGTGATAGTCTGCTGGTACAAGGGGGAACTAAAGTGTCTGAAGTCTGGGCGGCACTGTGAAAACTGGTTTTGAGAGGAAGACCTGGCTGAGAGCCGGGGGGCAACCCTGAGGCTGAAGGGGCACACCAAGATGGCCAAGCCTCACTGATCAAGCCAGAAACCTGGATGTGGTCCTTGACTCCTCCCTGCTGGCTCTTCCTCTCTCTGTAACTGCCACCTGGTCCCCTCCTCTGTCATCACCTAGACTTCAGCAGTCTCTTTCCTTGCTGGTCCTCCCTTAGCCACCATTAGTCCAGGCCATTCTTCCCCACACCTTTCAGCAGCTGAGAGATCTTTTCACAACACAAAGCTGATTACACCACCTCCCTTTTGGGATGTCCCAGTGGCCTCCCACTATTTTCAGGACAGAGATCAAAACCCTTGCCAGAGCTTGCCAGGTCAGCGGTCATCTGGTACCCCCGCTCCCCCTCACTCTCCAGAGACGAGGCCGAGCCCATGCAGTTCCCCTTCTGGGGAGCCCCTCCACAATCTCATTTAATGGTCCTTGCCCTTGTCCTTTCCACCATTCAGATCTCATTTCAGTGCCGTCAGAGAGGCCTTCCAAACCTGGTCAGGTCCCCCAACCCTGGCACCCACCATGCTCTCATGGTTCCAGGTTCCAACCAAAGAAAAACTCCACAAAGGCAGGACCACTATCTGTTTTTACTCAATAAACAATGGCTGAACTAATGGGCAAATGACAGGGGAAAAGAAGAAACAGGAAAGCTAGAGTCCTTGAGGTTTGACAGAGAAGGGGATAGTCTCTTCTCAGGCAAATGGAGCAGGACCTCCTGCACATCATTTATGGGTGTCATTGAGTGTGCCCCAAGAGCCAGGCCTCAGACTGGGCAGTGCACAGTCAGGTGACTTGCTCAGTGGGCACACACCCCTGGCACCCAAAGCCCCAGTGATTCCAACGACAAGCATGTACTGAGCACCCTGCCACCAGGCCCCATATGGGCTGGAGGTGTTAAGACCAACAAGGAACCAAAGCAATTGCAATACCATAGGACAGCCCAAATACAGATGACTCTCATGGCACCTCACCCAGCCAGTCAGGATGGGAAAGCTACCTGGAAGAAGGTGCAGTCTGAAAAGTAGAGAGAAATTGGCCAAGTGACAGGGATAGGACAGAGGGAAGAGCGTGAGCAAAACCCCAGAGGGGAGAGCGCGTTCCAGGGACTGCGGGTTCTGGCTAGAGCCGACACTGGAAGAAGAGGCAAGCAGAGGAACCCCGGAGGCCAGGGTCGGGCCCCGCCTATGATCCCAGCTGCAGAGATTGGACTTTATCCTGGGGAAGACAGGGAGCCCCGGAGGAGTCCTGGGCCGGGGTTAGGGGCTGTGGGTGTTCCTTGAACGCGAGCGGAGGCCGGGAAACCAGCAAAGGGGCAGAGGCGTCTGGGAGACGTTTAGGAAGCAGGGCTCGGCTACAGGCTGCTGCGGCGGCGGACCCGGATTTTGGGCTGGGGGCCGCTTCCGGGGCAGGGGCAGAGTCCGAGGCTCGGGCTGCGTATTCCCGGAAAGCCGGGGTCACATCCCAGGAGAGTGGGCGTTCACCCCACCACGTCCGACGGCTGAATGGAGGAGGGGGAAAGAGGTGGGGGCCGCGTCACAGGAGAGTGGGCGCCCACCCCACGTCGGAGGGCTGTAGGGGGAAGAGCACTCGGCAGGAGTCGAGGATGCTGGCCTGCGGTCCTCGCCCCTGGTCCGGGGTCCCTCCGGTCGGCACCCCGGCCGCGCCTGGAGTGCGGGGTCTCGGGGTCGTCCGGCCGGGCTGTCCCGGCCTCGCGGCCGGGCCCGGCTCCCCAAACGGCCAGGCGCCGCAACGAGGCCGCCCCACGCCGCCGCACCCGCTCCTGTCAGGCACTCACCGCCGCGGCCCGCGCACCCCAGTCCCGGGGCCGCACTCCATGGTTCCCAGCCGTCAGCCCGTGCGTCCGCCCGTCCCTCGGCGCCACTGCCCGGCCTTCTGCGCCGCCGCCGTCGCCGCCGCTCCCCCGCGGACGGAAGTCAGCCTCTCTCTCGCCACCGCCCCGGAAGTGACGCGAAGGCCCGCGCAGAGGCTGGCGGGGCTCTAGGTTCCAGCTTTGATTTTGAGGAAGCGAGTGTCCTTATCTTTCATTCCTTCTTTTACTCACTCCTGTGCCAGGACTAAGGGGGGGGCGAATGAAGCAAGGTTGTGCAGGTGCAAGGTCTGATTCTGCCTTTATTTAAAATGATATTTTGGCCCTGATCGGCGTGGCTCGGCTGGTTGGGCCTCGTCCAGCAAAGCAGGTCCAATTCCCAGACAGGGCACACGCCTGGGTCTCGGTTCCACGGGGCTGGGGCTCATGGGAGAGGCAACCAATCTCCCTCACATTGATGTTTTTCACCCTGTCTTTGTCCCTCCCTTCCCGCCTCTCTAAAAAGACATAAAATATTTTTTAAAAGTCATATTTTGTTCCTCCTGGGTTCTTTTGCACGTTTCATCTTTTTAAATATTGCATGAAAATACTATGAATTCTAGTGGCTGAGTGTTTGGAGTTCCTTAAATTTTGTGCCTAAGGCAAGTGCCTCGCTCTCGTTACGCCACTCCCTCCCAGCCCTGCTCACATTTCAGGGAGAGGATAAGAGCTGAGAACGACATAAGGGATATGGCTGAAGATGACTAGGGTGGCCAAGGCAGGCCTTTCTAAGAAGGTAACAGTGACAGAGGCAGGAGGGTTGCAGAGGCCAACAGGGCCCAGGGCAAGACTGAATTAGTTGGACACTCTCGCCCTTCCAGGCCTCCTGCCTTTGTATGTGCGTTTCCCCTTGCCTGCATCCCTTTCCAGCTCAAAATGCTCCATCCCCAGCAGGCAGTCCCTACCCCACCCTCATCCGTGCTCCTTCCCAAGGACTCTAATCTTTAGCTACATTAACAGAGATAAGCTTGAGGCTCTGGGCTTCCTAGTTAGCCCTGCCCCAATCAGCTGCCTGGAGAGGACCCAGGCTCAGGAGTGAACACTGCCCAGGGCTGGTTTCCTCTGGTTCCCAGCTCTGGCCTCCTGACCTGGACTCAGCTGCCACACTGGCCTCGCCAGATTCTATTCCTACCTCAAGGCTTTGCATAAGGTGCACCTCATGCTGGGAGTGCCCTGTCCTCAGATAGCCACATGGCTGGTTTCTCACCTTCAGGCATGCTGTCACATGTCACCTCTTCATTGAGCCCTCCCTGACCACCCACCTCCAGCCAAATTCTCTACTACGCTCACGCTCATCCCATCACACTATTTCTTACATCACTTTATTGAGTTGTTTCCTTATCATCTGTCTTCCCCATATTATATCCACTTCCCAGGGAAGGGACCCAGGCTTTCATCTGCCATGTTCCCAGCTTTCACCCATGTTGTCTGATGAATTGAAGAAGGCATAACAAATGGGAAAAAATAATTCCCAACACAGAGGATGACTTCTGTGAGGGTGGGGAGAGTCTAAATGAGCCTTTGCCACCAAGCACAGACTTCAGGCCATTCCTCACTCTCTGGTTGACTTGAGACACAATCTCTGGAAAATAACTTGGTCACAAGAATCAACGGTCTTAAAAGCACTCCAACTAGGGAACCATGAATTCCAGCCCTTAGCTCTTCGATATGGAACCATTAGCCCCACATGGGTACTTACTAAATTTAAATGAATTGATTAAAAGTCAATAAAATTTGCCCTGGTTGGTGTGGATCAGTGGATTGAGCGCAGGCCTGTCAACCAAAGGATTGCCCGTTCAATTCCAAGCCAGGGCACATGCCTGGGTTGCGGGCCAGGTCCCCGGTGTGGGGGGAGGTGCACAAGAAGCAACCACACATTGACGTTTCTCTCCCTCTTTCTCCCTCCCTCCCCCTCTGTCTAAAAATAAATAAATAAAATCTTTTTTTTTTATAAAGGCAATAACATTTTAAATGTAGTTCTTCGGTTACAATAGTCTCAAGTGCTCAAGAGCCACGTGGGACTGGCAGCTCCCATACTGAATGGCATAGATGGAGAACATGTCCATCAACTGGAAAGTTCCAGAAGCACCAGTCTACACAGTGAGCTCCACCAAGAAAAGCATCTGTGTCTATTTTTTTCCTGTTGTGTCCCCAGTACCCAAGTCAGGACTTAGCATTCAGTAGATGCTCAATAAATGTTGATGGAAGGAGAGAAGGAAGGAAGGGAAGAATTCTCCTTCTAAAGATCTAAGTAAACAATATGAAAGACAGCAAAGTTTGTCCATAGATGTCCTTCCCTGCATTAATTATAATAGTGAGAAAAAAGAAGAGTATCCTCAAAGTGCAGCCAGAGGAGACTGGATATAAAGATTACAGTCAGCCAGGAGTGCTCACCTTCTCTGTGAATGCCCTCACCTTTTCCTTCCCTCTCTCATTCCCTGCAGGCCCGTTACCTTTGCCTTTCCCTGTCCTAAACGCCAAGGGTCATTCTTTTGTCTGTAACTTGTTTCCTGAGCCAAAACGGCCCAGCTGGCTCACTTCTACTACGTCTGTAGTTTCCTAAATAAATTTTCTCTTATAATTTGGAGGAAAAAAAGATTATGATCAACCCTTGATAGAAAAGAGTGCAGCCCTGAGGTATGGAGATCAATACAATACAAGGCTGTTCGTTCTGTTTTTTCAAAATGGTTTTATTTTATTTATGTTTTTATAGGAAATATATTTACATGGTTCAAAGTTCAAAGTATCTAAAAAGCTGAGCAGCCCTGACCAGATAGCTCAATTGGTTAGAGCATTGTCCTGATATACCAAGGTTGTGAGTTCGATTTCGGGTCAGGGCACATACAAGAAAGAAACCAATGAATGCATAAACAAGTGGGACAACAAATCGATGTCCCTCTCTCCTCTTTCGATCTCTTATCTCTCCCTTTTTCTCTCTCTAAAATCAGTTTTAAAAAATTAAAAGGCTGAGCAAAAGAGGTCTTTCCTCTTCATCTGTTCCCCAGAAAGGAGACAACCCCGTCGCAAGGCTCCCAATATTGTCAGTAGCTTCTGACTCAGTGCTGAGAAACCAGGCATCTTGTGCAACTGCACAACATCTAAGTGGCCAGAGAAGAGACCCTTCCACCTTTTAAACTTTGTTTTTGTTAAACCCACATAATAGCTTTCAATAAACACCATGGAGACAGTTCACTTTTTCTGCCTTGGCCCATCTGCAGTCCTCTCAGAAATCCCTAGAGCTGACCCACCGCTTGCACACTCAGTCCTCTTTTGTTGGACATGAAGGTTGATTCCCTCTCTGGCCAGAACAGAAATAGCATGTGAGCCTTTTCACCCTGAGGGCAGAGACCTGGAGGGGTGGCCTCGAGGAATGGATGATTCCTGGAAGCAGAGGCTTCTACAGAGAAGGTCCACCCAGCTGCATCCAGGAAACAAAGCAGTCATAGGTTCCCTGCTACTCCGTCCCAAGAAAAACACCACATGGGAACAATAGCCATGGGTAGATGAATGGATAAACAAAATCTGGTCCATCTATACAGTGGAATATTATTTAGCCTTAAAAAGGATGGGCACATTCTGACACCCTCTACAATGTGGATGAACATTTTTTTAAGCATTGACTTTTTTTTCAATTTTTTACTTACTAATTTTAGAAAGAGAGGAAAGGAGAGGGAGAGAGAAAGGAAGAAACATTAATTTGTTGTCCCACTAATTGATGCATTAATTGGTTGATTCTTGCATGTCCCTGACTGGGAATCAAACTGGCAACCTTGGTGTATCGGGGCAATACTCTAACCAACTGGGCTATCTGGCCAAGGGTATGTGCGTGAATCTTGAGAACAGAACATTAGGCTGAGTGACATAAGCCAGACACAGAAGGACGAATACTGTGTTATTCTGCTCATGGGAGGTCCCTAGAGAAGTCAGGTCCTTAAGAGACAGAAAGCAGATGGTGGGAGCCAGGGGATGGGGATTTAGTGACGAAGTTTCAGATTGGGACGATTCTGGATATGAGAAAGTTCTGGAAATAATGGTAGGGATGGTTGCACAACAATGTGAGTGTATTTAATGCCAACAAGTTGTACACTTAAAATGATTAAGATGGTAAACTTTATTTTTATATGTGTATTTATTGATTTGAGAGAGAGGAATGGGGAGACACACATGAACTTGTTCCACTTACTTATGCATTCATTGGTTTGGGTTTTTTTTTAGATTTTATTTATTTATTTATTTTTAGAGAGAGAGGATGGAAGGGAGAAAGAGAGGGAGAGAAACATCAGTGTATGGTTGCCTCTCATGCGCCCCCCACTGGGGACCCAGTCCACAACCTAGGCATGTGCCCCGACTGGTAATTGAACCAGTGACCCTTTGATTCTCAGGCCAGCACTCAATCCACTGAGCCACACCAGCCAGGGATATTGGTTGATTCTTATACGTGTTCTGACTGGGTATCAAACCCAAAAACTTGTAGTATCAGGATGATGCACTAACCAACTGAGCTACCCAGCCAGGGCAAGATGGTAAATTTTATGTTATGTATATTTCACCATAATAAAGTGAATAAAGTTCATAAAACCATGAGGTCAAGGAAGAGCCCCAGGTGCTTGGGGAAGTGACAGCTTTATGGGCTGAGACCTGTGTAGTCACCCAGGGCTTTGGCCTCAGGAGGGTCCCACCCATGACTTACCGCCCTGTGGCTGCTGTCTTGAAATTCCTAATAATTTTTTAACAATGGGTTCTGTGTTTTCATTTCGAACTGGAATCTGCCAATTATGTGGCCTGTCTTGGTTTGAGGAAAGGACAGAGAAGCCCAAAGTCAGGGTCTGGGACCCTGGGGCTGGTGGAGAAGCACCTCAACATGCAAGGTGTCTGCCCCACCCCAAGGGGAGAGAGTGAGACCCAGTCAGGAAATGGGCTCCTGACAGAGCCAGGAAGGAAGTGGGGAGGGGCTCCTAAAATAGTAGCAGTTGCTAGCTGATTGGGTGGGGGGTGGGGATGGGAGGTTGGACAGGAGTGAGCCAGCCCCAGAAGGCATGGGGGGCTTTCCTAAGGAATTCCCTTCTTCAAACTAGCCCCTTTCCCATCTACACAGCTAGAAATAATGTCTAAAAAAATTAAATTATAACTTAACAGACTGTAGTGTGCACAAATCCTATTTGCACAACTCAATTAAACTGCACACATACAGGTAAAACCATGGGTACAATAAAAAGTCCAGTGAATGCTGGGCATTAGGAGGAGGGATGAGTAGGCAGAGCACAAAATATTTTTAGGACAGTGAAAATGTTCTGCAGGATAGTATAATGACAGACACATGTCATCATACATTTGTTCAAACCCATAGAACATACAATACTAAGAGTGAACCCCCAATGTAAACTATGGATATTAGATGGTAATGACGTGTCAGTTGTAGGTGCATCCTTGAAACAAATGTCCCACTCTGTTGGGGGAAAGTTATTAATGGGGGAGTCTGTGTGTGTATTGGAGCAGGGGTATATGGGAAATCTCTATAGCTTCCTCCCAATTTGCTGTGAACTTAAAACTGCTAAAAAAAACATCATTTACAAAAGTTAGCTCTTTTTGTGGGGACTTAGATGTATTCGGCTGCCTCAAGATGAAGCTGAACATCTCTTTCCCAGCCACTGGCTGCCAGACTCATTGAAGTGGATGATGAACACAGACTTTGTACCTTTCATGCGAAGCGTATGGTCACAGAAGTTGCTGCTGATGCTCTGCATGAAGAGTGGAAGGGTCATGTGGTTTAAATCACTGGTGAGAATGACAAACAAGGTTTCCCCCATGAAGCAGGGTGTCTTGACCCATGGCCATGTCAGCCTGCTGCTGAGCAAGGAGTATTCCTGCTACAGACAAAGGAGGACCGGAGAGCGAAAGCGCAAATCAGTTCAGGGTGGCATTGTGGCTGGCAATCTCCATGTTCTCAATTTGGTCATTGAAATCAAAGGGCAGAAAGATATTCCTGGTCTCACTGACACTACTGTGCTTTTTCGCCTGGGGCCCAAAGGAGCTGGCAGAATCTGCAAACATTTCAACCTCTCTAAAGAAGCTGATGTCCGGAATGTGTTGTGAGAAACAAGGAAAGATAAGAAACCTAGAACCAAAACACCTAAGTTTCAGCATCCTGTTACTCCATGCATCCTACAATACCAATTTCGGCATATTGCCCTGAAGAAACAAGGTACTAAGAAAAATAAGGAAGAGGCTGCAGAGTATGCTAAACTTTTGGCAAAGAGAATGGAGTCCAAAGAAAAGCGCCAGAAACAGATTGCCAAGAGACATAGGCTGTCCTCTCTGAGAGCTTCTACCTTTAAGTCTGAGCCCAGCCAAAAGCGAGGTCTTCTAAAAGTTACAAATAAGAAGATGCATAAAAAAAAAAAATTACACACACATATATACAAACCTGTGGATTGTAATCCACTTCCAACCCCCAACCTCACCCCAGAGCCTCCTTCCTATCCTGTCCTATTCCCTTCCCTTAAGAGGTGATTACTGGTTGATTTCTATCACTGTTGATTCATTTTGCCCAGTTTTTTACTTTCTGTGCATAAAGTCATACAGTGTGCTTACTTTTGTGTTGCTACTTTCACACATCAGGCCCATGTGTGTAGCAGTCATTCACCTTTTTCATTGCTGCATTGTATTCCATTGTATAAATGTACCACTTTTCTTGATGCATTCTGCAGATGGACAATCGGGTTGTTTACAGTTTGGGGCTATTACGAACAAAGTTGCTGTGACCATTCATAAATCTTTTACTAGGCACAAATACTCATTTCATTGGGTGTTGTATTAGTTTGCTGGGACTGGTATAACACAGTAAGATAGATGGAGTGGCTTCAACAGCAATCACTGGTTTTCTTCTAGTGCTAGAGGCAGGAAGTTTGAGATCAAGGTTTCAGCAGGGCTGGTTTTTCCTGAGTTCTCTCTCCTTAGCATGTAGATAGCCATCTTCTCCCTGTGCCTTCACAAGGTCTTCTCCTATACAAGCCTGTGTTCTAATCTCCTCTTTATATAAGGACATCAGTCATGTTGGATTAAGACCCAAAGCAATGATTTCATTTTATCTTAATCACCACTTTAAAGACCCTATCTCCCAATACAGTCACATCCTGAAGACCTAATGGTTAGGGCTCCAATGTATGACTTGCGGAGGACACAATCCAGTCCATAGCAGGTGCCTATCTTTTCAGGAGCTGATTAGCTGGGTTGTAGAATATACACAAGTTTAGCTTTAGTGGAAACTGCAAAAAGGTTTCCGAAGTGGCTGAGCCCTCTGGCTTCACCTCCTCTATATGTTCCAGTGCTCCCCCCAATTTTCCCTGTGGGATCTTCCTGGTTTGCATATGCCCAGCCAGGGCCTGCCTCAGGACCTTTGCATGGGCTGTTCCCTCTGCCTGGAATGCTCTTCCCACAGACAATCTCTCATCATTCAGGCTCAGGGAAAGTGTCACCTCTGTGGAGATATCTTCCCTGACCACTCCATTTACCATAGCCATTTGGTCTCCCTGAAGGTATTCCATTGGAAATGATCTCATCTTTATTTTATTTTACTTGGTGCCCAGTAACCATGCAATAATGATCATCTCTTCAACATCCAAGCCACCAGGGAAATGCTAACCAGAACCATGGTACATGGCACTGCATCCCCACTAGGGGCTGTACTCAAAAAGATAGGCAACAAGCATTGGGGAGGATGTGGAGACACCAAAACCCTCACATGAGGTAAGGGGAGTGTAAGAGGCAGCTGCTTTCAGAAGCAGTGTAGCAGCTCCTCAAAAAGTTTAACAGAGTTACCATCTGGTCCAAGAAGACCTTCACTGAAGGTCCCACACTATGGTTAGCATATCTGCTTGGCTCTAGGGTTGAGCAGCATCCCTGGGTCCCATCCACTCAATGCCAGGAGTACCCCCAGCAATGACGACCACAGATGACCCTAGACATTGCAAATGTGGGGGAACAAAGTCACTGCTACCCCCAAGGCCTGGTCCTCAAACTTGAGCATGCACCGGAGTCTCCTGAGGGCCAGGTCCAGCCCGAGTTTCTGATTCAGCGGGTTTGGGGTGAGGCCCAAGAACTTGTTAAAGGAACCCAGGTGCTGTTGGAGCCTGTTTGGAGCCCCACTGCTAATGCACCGCCCCTGCCACACAGGAACCTGGAGCCTGGCTCTGGTCTCTTGGACTCCAAGGGGCCAGGGACAGTGGCTGTGGCTGTTTTGGTAAGCACTGAACAGCAGCTGCTTACCCTGCCTGAAGCCAAGGATTTGGCCATGCCGCCTTTGGCCAGTAGGTGGCTGCAGTGACTGTTGGATATTTGGAGGGTCCAGGAAGAAGGGTGGTAGGTCGAGGGAGCAGGGGATGCATGGGCAATGCCATCTGTCTCACCAAAATAATAACAACAACAATAACAACATTGTCTGTTCACATGCACCAGATGCTCACTCTTGGCCAGGCAGTGGGGGATCCACAGTGAACAAAATTTCTAGCCTTCGTGGAGCAGACATTCTAGATAAATACCACCAAGTAATAATAAGTAGTGGGAAGACAATAAAATAAAAGGTGGGCCAGGAGAGAACAGGACTGCTGGAGAGGGGGGCTCCCCTCACACCTCAGGCCTACATGGCCAGTGGCTAGGGCTTTAAGGAGAATTGGTTGTGAAACTGTGTGCCTGTGGGGTGCATTTCTAGACCCCTGACCCGTGAAGGCTGCAGCACTTTTACTGTCCTATAGAGCTGTTGTAAGTACTAAATGAAATGATGTAAAATGACCCACAAAGCGAAAGGGTCCCTTTGCTTTGTGAGTCAATGCCCAATCAATTGAGCCACACTAGTCAGGACTAGGCATTGTTTTTAATGACATGCCAATCAGAGAGCACTGCCAATTTTTAAAACTAATCAGCAAACAGGTGTCCTTTTAGACCTGGAGTTTTCTCTTAGCAGTGGGGTTAAACCAGGGTTTTCCAGCCTCTACACTGTGGACATTCGGGGCCAATTCTGTTTGTGGAGAGTGTACTGTGTACTGCAGGGTATGGAATGGCATCCCTGGCATCCAGGTTTTGACTCCATTTGGTGCCAGGTACACCTCCCAGTCACAACCATAAATGTCCCCAGACACATTTCCCAGTGCCCCTTTGAGGTGGGGTGGGACAGCTATCTGTGGTTGAAAATCACTGGTTTAAACCCGTTTAACTAGAATCAGTAACTGGATTTGCTCGTAAAATGAGCATGGTTTGTTCAGGAGAGTCAAGAGGTCCCCTTCACCCAATGTACAGGTGGGAAAACGGAGGCCAGGCGTTAGCCAAGGACCCAGACCAGAGTTGGAAGCTGATTCCATCCACTAGCCAGCCCCTGAAGAACTATGTGGAGACAGCAAATTGGGCTCGGTGAGTGACTGCAGCGGGTGTCGTGTGCCCCTCTGACTCAGTGTCCTACTCTGCGGATTTCCCAAAAGGCTTTTCCCCGCCCACCTAGTTGGGTCTCGAACTCACAAATCAGAGCAGGCCTGCGCTCCTGCGAATTGCGGGACTAGAGCCCACAGACGCGGGCGGCCCTGTGGGGATTGTAGTCCCGGCCCCGCCTCTCCCTGGCGCCGACCCCGCCCCTGGAACTACGCTCCCATCGTGCTCTGCGGTATCAGGCAGAGGCTGAGCGAGCGGGCGGGCTGGTTGCTAAGATTTAGTAAAGCGCAACGTTCACGCCTTTCTCCTCAGGTAAGCGCGCGGCCTCCGAGTGTGGGGCTCTCTTGTCCCAGGCTTCCGGGGAGGGCGGGCTGGGGCAGCCACGTGGGTCTCGGCTTCGGGTGGCGATGGCCGCGCGGAGGCTAAAGAGCAGCTAGGCCGGCAAGCACGCGCCTCGGGCGGTCTGGGGAGCGTCGCGTGTGCGCGTGCGCCTGGACCGGGCTTTAGGTCTTGCTCACGGGCTTCCATCGCCCTTCTGCGCGTGCGTGCGCCCCTGAGGCGTGGCATTGAGACCCCGTGCGTCCAGCGGCTGCGGCGCGCCCTGCCCTCGGGTCCTCACAACCAGCCCCCACCCCGCGGCCCCGCCTCCGGGCTGCTGGTTGACCGTCTTCCTCCGCGACTTAAGCAAAGGTCCGTAATCTTTATTACATCTTCAACATTGATGTGTTTTTTTCTTTCTGATACTTATGGGAAGTGTGAGTTTTCAAGGCCCTTAAAAAAAGAAAGATCGTCCCCTAAGGGTATATTTATTGATTTGAGAGAAACAACGTGAGAAAAAAACTTAAGTGTGTTTCGCCCCCCCCCCCCCCCCCCCCCCCCCCGCCCCGGCCCTTTAGGTGCCCACATGGGGATTGAACCTACAGCCTAGGTATATTTCCTGAGATGGGATCGGACCCTTATCTTTTGGTGTATGGAGGATACTCCAACCAACTCAGCCATCCGGTCAGGGCTCAAGGCTTTTTCTTATTTCAGCCGGAATAAGGGGTTTCTCCCACACCCCACAAGCCCAGAGTTCTCGAACTTTCATGCACAGAAGTCCCACTTGTAGGGTACCACACCCAGCAAATAAACAGGACACCTAGTTGATCTCGAATTCCACAAACAAGGAATACCATTTAAAAAAATTTTTTTTTAGTGTAAGTATGTCCCAAAGATTGCATGGGGCACAGTTACACTAAAAAATTCTTCCTCATCTGGAATATGTGTTATCTGGCAATCGCAGTCCATGTGGGAGTTTATTAGAAGCACAGGCTGTGGCCCCCTCCCCTTTGTGGGGCCAGGTCGTAGAAGATACATTTAAAACTGTAGGTGCGTCAGAGGCTCCAGCACTGGCTGTTCTGCCCTGGTCTTCCTATCCTGCTTTGCCTGCTTTCCAGGCCCTGCTGTGGGTCACTGCCTATGAAGAGATGGATTTTCTCACTTTCCGCCCCTGCATGCCTGTGTGGTGGTGATGGATTCCCTCTCACAGAGAGGGAAGCTGCAGTGGGGGTGAGGACAGGGCCAGGTCCAGGCTCTGGCCTTCCTAATCTAAAGATAAGTCTTCCTGTTGGAGGTTTACGTGCCGCCTGCAGAGCCTGACTCAGCTCACTGAATAAGCACCATTTCCCGTGTCCCTCCCAGAGCCAGAGTCCACTTCTGCTAGGACCCCAGGTCCACTCCTTCCCCCACCCCCAGCTGCCACCCAGTGCCCCCAAGAATTCCAGCACACTGCTTTCCAGTTTGATGCCATGGGGGGAGGTGGTCTTAAGCTGATGAGGGGACTTGCAGTTGGGGGTCTCTCTCCCTGGTCCACCAGACCCTCCAGGGACTGCCAATGCAGTTGAGCTTTTCTGGCCCTGGACAGTTGGTGCCTAAGGCAGAGGCACTGCCACCGTAAATGTGACCGGGTCATCTGAAGAGGCTGTGGCCACCCCATGGAGACCAGAACACAGACGTGTTTAGGAGGCTGCAAAAGGTGCAGACAGAGGAGATGGACACACCCAGGGAAGGGACTGAGTGGGGCAAGACCGAGCTGGGCAGGACGGCAGAAAGCTGGGCAGTGATGGGGAGAGGGGGCAGTCAGGGCACCTGGAGTTTGGGGCTTCAAGGATGGAAAGGAATCCCAGGGCAGCACTGCCTCCCACTGTGCTTCAATCCTTGGATGTGTTGAAACAAAAATGTTTGTGCATGTTTAGTTCGTGGGTGGACTGGCGCTCCGTGTGGGGCTTTTGGGGTTGGGGGCTCGTGTGGGCCACCCACTGTGGAACCTGTTTATTTCTCATCTGGACCCACTCTACAGATGAGAAATAAACAGGTTGCACAGAGGGCAACTTGCAGATCCCTCTGTCTTGCAGAGGAACTCGAAATGCACAGTCTGCGAGCTGGTAAGCACTGACCATGAGCCCTGGTCAAGGCCCTCCACCTCTGGGAGACTAAAGAAAGTCTTTAGGACAAGTCTTTCTTGTCCTAAAGAAAGGGGACAGTTCCAGGTTTTCCTAGGTCAGTGGGAGGAGTAGAGGAGCCCGTTCATGGAGGTGTGAGGACACAAGGTATTACATAAAGGCAACTGTCACCAGAGGCAGGCCTTGTTTGGGGTCTGCTGACTTACTGACTGCCAGATGTCCTTTGCCCTCCTCATTTTCCTTCACAGCAGCTTAATTGAGATGCAGTTCACATATTCAAACTGTACATTTTAGTGGTTTTTAGTATAATCACAGGGTTGTAGAAACTCATCACTATCTTAACTCCAGAACATTCCATCACCCCAAAAAGAAACCTGTCCCCATTAGCAGTCACCCCCACCCCCCTTTCCCAGTCCCTGTCAACCACTAACCCACTTTTTGTCTCTATGGATTTGCTCGTTCTGGACATTTCACATAAATGGAATCACGTGTGTGGCTTTTGTGTCTGGCTTCTCTCACTGAGCATCATGTATTCAAGGTCCTTCTACGCTGTGGCATCAGTGCTTCACTCCTTTTTGTGGCTGAGTAATACTCCAGTGTATACATGGACCACATTGTGTCTGTCCATCATCTGTTGATGGACACAGGTTGTTTCTACCTTTTGGCTGTTGGGAATCCTGCTGCTGTGAACATGTGTGTACAGGTTTCTGTGTGGATGTGGGTTTTCCATTTTTCTGGGTACATACTAGGAGGGGAGGGGAGTTGCTAGGTCAAATGGTGACCATCCTGTGATATTTACCTGTCCTCCTTAGAAATTGGCAGCCCAACCAGACCTGTCCCAAAGTCAGCCTCTTTTATTTGTCTCTTGTTTTGGTCAGACAGAAGTTGAACTCTTGGAGGGAAAAGTAAGACTGTGTCTGTCTTTTACTTGCAGATAGTGAGAGCTTTCGTGGCCCAGGGCAGGCCATGCGGGTCCTGGGCATGATGTATATTGGGAGCGGATTCAAAGTTGGCACTGTGGACTCTTCTGTGGGCCCTGCCCAGTACTGGTGTTACGGACGCATAAGGGGCACTCTTTGCATGTTCACATCTCATGGCTGCTGTTGGCACCCTAGTTCACTGTTTGTCAAACTTGTATTGTGAGCTTAGGACACACTGTAGTGGGTGAGGACCTGGCATGGCCTGTGAAGGGCCTAGCCAATAAATAAACAGGGCCCCATGGAGCCAGGGAGTAAGCTACAGGGCACATCATGGGCAGGAAAAGCTCACAGTTGTAAAGTGATTTCAGTATTTCCTGTCCACAGGGGAGAGGCAGGAGGGGCTGGTCCACTCCAAGTACCTGGATAGGCAGTGTTCTGGGTGGGCATTGGCACATGAGCTGCTCTGGAATGCAGTTGAGATTATCTGTGGTTTATCTCTAACATTCTCCAAGGCAGTTCTGATCAATAAGAATATAATATGAGGCACATATGTAAAGTTAAGTTTTTTTAAAGCCATGTTAAGTTTACAAAGTTAATAAGTGTAGTTAATTTTAATAATGTATTGAAGTTAACCTAAGACATGAAGTGTTACCATTTCAAAATGTAGTCAATACAAAAAAATTAATGAGATAGTTTATGTCCTTTCATATTAAGTCTCTGAGATTCAGTGTGCATTTTTGCTCACTTTACATCTCAAGTAAAAAGAGGAAAAAAGTCAATGGCGGTTTAAACTCTGCAAACCAAGAGTTGGTAGGATCTAAGTGAGAGCATGACCGGTGATGCATTTTACTCAGGCTGGAGCTCTTGGACGAGCCCTCAGATTCAGCACACTCCTGGGACGGACTCCTCGGCTCACTCAAGCCTCCTGTGGCTGACAGATGATGCTGTGCTCCGATCTCTGTCTCCCACAGTCAGAGCCCTGCCAAGGATGGACCCCCTGGGCACCATGGAGCACTGTGAGGACAAGAAGGCTGGGAGCCCAAATCAAGAGCCTGCTTTGTGGCAAGCCCTTCCTGTTCTGTCAGAGCAGCAGTCCAGGGACGTGGAGCTGGTGCTGGCCTATGCTGCGCCCATCCTTGACAAGCGCCAGACCTCACGACTACTCAAAGAAGTATCAGCCGTTCATCCGCTGCCCGCCCAGCCTCACCTCAAAAGGGTTCGGCCAAGCCATGATGCCAGCCGTCCACACATGCTGGAGATACTGCTGTGTTTGGCAGGACCGGTTGCAGGCACACGATCACTGGCTGAGCTCCTCCCATGGCCAGCAGTGGACCCCCATGGCCTGGGGCAGCCCTTCCTGGTGCCTGTGCCTGCCTGGCCGCCTCTGACCAGGGGCCAGTTTGAGGAGGCACGTGCCCACTGGCCCACATCGTTCCATGAGGACAAGCATGTGACCCGAGCTCTAGCTGGGCGACTTTTCTCGGCACAGGAGCAGGCTGAGATGCAGGGCTACATGGAGCGGGCTGTGCGGGTGGCACAACAGGCGGCTGCCAGGGGCCTAAGGGCTGTGGGGGCGGTGGTTGTGGACCCAGCCTCAGGACGGGTGCTAGCCACAGGCCATGACTGCAGCAGTGCAGCCAGTCCCCTGCTGCATGCCACCATGGTGTGCATTGACTTGGTAGCCCAGGGACAGGGTCAAGGCACCTATGACTTCAGGCCTCATCCCGCCTGCTCCTTTGCCCCAGCTGCTACCCCTCTGGGTGACCAGACTGTCTCTGTGCGCAAGATGGATGAAGACATGGACATGGAGGAGGATGGCCTCCCCTACGTGTGCACTGGCTATGACCTCTACATTACCCGTGAGCCCTGTGCCATGTGTGCTATGGCTCTGGTGCACTCCCGTGTGCAGCGTGTTTTCTATGGGGCACCCTCACCTGATGGTGCCCTGGGAACCCGTTTCCGCATCCATGCGCGGCCTGACCTCAACCACCGTTTCCAAGTGTTCCACGGTGTGCTGGAGGCCCAGTGCCGCCAGCTGGACCCCGACACATAGGTGCTGTGCTTGTTGGCTCCAGACTGTCCTCTACTCTGCCAGCTTCATCCTCCTCTCAGATCCATGTGGGCCCTGGCTCCCTTACTTTCATCCAAGGGCTGCAATCCTGTTTGTGGATTTCAGGGACATGCCTCCCAGCCCTGGAGCCCGTGCCCACACCATTCCCACTGGTGTGTGGGGCTGCATTTCCGCTAGACCAAGGTTCTCCGTAGGCTGGAGCTTACTGAGGGTCTAGTCAGACCTCGTCACTGAGCACTCAGGCCTCCCTCCTTCATCTGCCTTCACTCTGAGCCCATGGGTTCACTGGGGTTGTGTCCCCTTTGTCTCAAGTCTGACCAGTGAAAATAATAAACACAACCCCCAAACCAGGCTGGTGTTTATTGAGAATTGTGGGGCTGCTTCCACCAAGGGCCTTGGTATACTCAGGAGGAGAGAAGCTTCTGAATCCAATGTGAGCAGAGTCCTGCTCTAGTCCTGGGTCTGGAAGGGTGTGGCTCACTTGGGTGTGTCTGGATTCAGCTAATGAAAAGTCTCCTTTGGTATTATCTCATTTCCCATCCTTCTCAGGTGGCCAGAGGAGTGCCCAAAGACTGAATGCCACAGAGCAGTTAGCACTAGAACCACCTTGTTTGTGTGGGACTCCAGGCAGGCATTTTGTCCATCCAGCAACCATGCACTATCTGAGTGCAAAGGCACTACAGGGATTCCAGGATGTCCCTGTCCCAAGCCAACCCTCAGGCCCCTGGGGATGCTCCCAGGCTGTAGGGACAGGGCAGGCAGGAGGCTCTACCTGGGAGCCAGTGCAGTGGACAGATACGGGTGGGGCATGAGCCTGCTGAGCCAGCAAGGAGAGCCAGCCAGGGCAGCACAGAGGGTCTCAGTAAGAACACCGGTAAGCTGAGGCATGGGTCCCAGGCGACTCAGCATCACTGAAACATTTTTGCCTGGATTGTAGGTGAGAAACACATTCCCAGCGCCTGGCCCCAAGCACAACTGCTGGCCTCCTTTGGGGCAGAGTGTCCCCTGAACCTTCACCTGGGTTGCAGCGGGGCCCTTGGCCCTACAAGGCTCCTAGTGGCAAAAACTACAGGTCAGAGAGGTTGTGTGAACCCAGTCTTGGTGATTTGGAAGTTAGACACTGCAGCCAAAATGAGGCACTCAGGGCTATCTGTGGATAAAGGGTGAGGGAGGATGAAGTGGCAGGAGGGCAGTGAAGGACGTCACCAGGTTCCCAGGAGTGGCCTGGCTTCAGGCTGGCCTGTGAATCGCAGGGGCCTGCTGCCTGAATCCTCCTCCAGCCCCTGCAGATGCTGCCCCGGGGTGTTCTGAGGTGAGGTGATGACTGGGGTCACCCGTTAGGGATGTCCTTTCAGGTAAGAGCCCTCACACCCCTTGAATAGCCTGGGGGTTAGGACTCTTCACTGCAGCCACTTGGGCCTGCAGCTGGTGTCGGGGTCACCTGACAGCCATAGGGACCCCCTGACTGTTGCTATCTCCCCTCCAGGTGGCTGCGGCTTCAGCCTCACCAGGTCCTCATAGCAGAAATGTCAGGTGAGTCTTTCCTGGGGGCCCTGGGGTTCCTGTGTCTGTTCCTCTGGGACATGTACCCAGGTGGCCAGACCCATTATGACCACCACAGGCACCCGCCTCATGTTCCTTTTTCCACAATGACTGTTGGAATCACCTCCCAGCACCGAGCAGCTGACAGGGAGGCACCTGGTTTCCATGTGAACTGTCAGCCAGCATTCGGCCCAGCCAGGCTTTCTGCTGGGACTTGTTTTGTTGATACCACAAGTGGACTCCAAGGTTTGGTCACCTGGATTCATGCCTATACATGTAAGATGACACTCTCATTTCCTTATGGAGGCTGTAGTGAGCCCCAAGGGTGGCCTGCCTCATCCTGCTTTGAAATGGGCAGAGCATACAAGTGAAGTTAGGTGGACCATGGTTAGCCCACTGGTGGCACAGCTGGGATTTAAACCGAGACCCATGGGTTCCAGTCAGTGCAGAACGTTTCACCAAGAAAACAAGGTTTCAGTGGCTTTGAGATTCAACTGGTGGTTTTCTGCCTTCTTCCTGTCATGGCATGTGCTGGTGGGACTGACTGCTGGAAACATCACCCTGTTCTCCCTGTGGGTGGGGGGGATGTCAGTCAGGAAAGGAGAGAGGTGCCGAGGGCCACGGGAGCAGCAGGGCTTGGGGATGGGTGCCTGAGTGGGGACTGTTGCTGGGGTCTTGGGTGCCTGGCCACAGGGCTTGGTTGGGGACCATGAGTAGAGTTTGAGACCAGTGTGCAGCTGACTGTGCCAATGCTGGGGACATCCCTCCAGGCCAGCTCACTAGGAGGGCAGAAGGCTGGAAGCCCTGCCTCTCGTGGTCTAGAGATACCCAGCAGGCAAGCTCAGGACTCTGCAGGCTTCCTGTCTTATTGGGTTGGCCAAAAAGTTCATTTAGTTCTTTCTGTACAATGGTTCTAGTAGTGCTTAGTTGTCTTTTTCATTAGAAACAATTTTGTTAGGTCATACTGTGACAGTTTTCATATCAGTGTGCATTTTTTAAAAAAAAACATCAAAATCGGTGAGTTTTTGTGTAGCCATTTTAATATCGAAGAATGGAAGAAAACACATTTTCAGTGTATTATGTTTTATTATTTCAAGAAAGGTAAAAATGCAACTGAAATGGAAAAAAAAGATTTGTGCAGTATATGGAGAAGGTGCTTGATCCTGACTGATCGAACGTGTCAAAAATGATTTGTGAAGTTTCTTGGTACTACTGACATTTTGGTGAAATAATTCTTTGTTGTGGGGCTATCTGATGCATTGGAAGATGTTTAGCAGCATCCCTGGCCTCTATCCACTAGAAGCCAATAGCGGGAGATAGCCGACATACTCAAAATATCCAAATCAATAAAGTTATTGGTGAAAATGAAAAATGTGTCCTTTTTTTTACAGGAATAACTAAACAGACTTTTTGGCCAACCCAATACTTGGTAAATAAGTGGCTGAGGCTTTTCAGTGGCCCCCAAAGTGTGGCTGCCCCTACCTCCTCCTTCCTCCAGCCCCTGATTTTGCTGCTCCTACACAGGTAGGAGCTCACTCAGGGCCTTTGCTTCCTCTCCCAGAATCCACCAGGCTCCCTTCTTCACCTCCTCAAGTCTTTGTTCAAATGCCACCCTTTAGTGAGGTCCACCCTGACCCTGCTTTTAAGTCACAGCTAACTGATACCCCTAGCCTTGTCTCTGGCAGGCCCCACCTGCTCTGGTGGTTCCTCTGTACGGCAGTCAGCACGTCTCAGAACACTGCACAGTTACCCTTCTGTCATGGTGGTGGTTGGTCCCCCCGGTTGAGGTGGAATCCAAGAACAGGGCTCCATTTGTGTTGTCCTTTGTCATCCTCGCATGTGCTCAGAAGCATGCCCTGCAGCAATGAGGATGAGCAGAAGCACGTTGAGAGACAGCAGGGCAGCACTGACATTATCTGCTGTTGGTCAGATCATGTCCCCAGAAACGCATGTTCAAGTCCTGACCTCTAGTACCTGGGAAAGTAACCTCATTTGGAAATCAGATGTTTTCAGGTGTATTTGTTAAAATGGGGTCACACAAGTAAGGTAGCCCTAATGCAATGACAGTTGTCCTTACAAGAAAAGGGAAATTTGGACACTGACACACACAGGCCATGTGGCCATGGAGGCAGACACAGGAATGATGTGGCTATAAGCCAAGGAGCCCCCATAAGCTGGAAGAGGCAGGAAGGACCCTTCCCTGGAGCCTTGGGAGAGAGCATGGCCCTCAGACACCTTGATTTCAGACCTCTGTCGTCCATATTATGAGGATAAATCTGTTGTTTTAAATCCCCTTTGTGTGGCTGTTTATTACAGGGTACTTATAAATTCCAAGTGCCAGAACCTTCCCTGGGGACGCAGGTATTAACAGCATCTGGTCCTGCATATGAATCTGTGAGTTTCCTGTGATGGCTGTGATACCCAAGAAATCACCACAAATGTAGGGGCTTAAACAGGATTTATCAAGACTTCAACATGGGCCTCATAAGGCTAAACCCAGGTGTGGGCAGAGCTGGTCATTCCCAAGGCTCCAGGGAGAACCATTTCCAGCTTCTAGCATCGCCGCATCTCTGGCTCAGGGCCTCTTTCTCTGTCTTCGCAGCTTCTTCCCTCTCTGACTTGGGCCCTCTTTCCTTCCTCTTAAGAGGACACTGTAAGGAGAGTGAGCCCTGCTGGGGAATCCAGGATCATCCCTATTCTAGGAGTCTTGACTTAATCACATTTGCAAAGTCCCCCTGCCATGTGAGGCAACATGTGTACAGGTCCCTGGACCAGGATGGGAACATATTTACTGCACTGTCCCCAGCCTGGTTTAGTCTCGTGGTGCTCTGTGTCCCCATAGAAAAGGAGAACAACTTCCCGCCACTGCCGAAGTTCATTCCTCTGAAGCCTTGTTTCTACCAGAACTTCTCCGATGAGATTCCCATTGAGCATCAGGTTCTAGTGAAGAGGATCTACCGGCTATGGCTCTGTGAGTGGCGGGATGGGTTATGGGGGGCTCCCCGTACTGCCGCAGAGAGCCAGGCCATGAAGCTGCCCTGTCCCTGGGTTCTTAGAGCCTGGGGTTTTTGTAGATATCTCCTTTCTGATAAAATTCTGCCCTGGAGGAGGCATGGTGTCGTGGACGGAGCAGATAGGGTCAGCTCGGGGGGGAACCTCTGTCCCCCTGAGGCTTCTCTGGCCTGTGATCTTTGTGCAGTGGGGCAGAGGTGTCCTAGTGCTCGTTCTCTAAACCCTAAACCTCAGTTCAGCCTCCTTGCCTCCCCTCCCCAGTCTACTGTGCCACGCTAGCAGTCAACCTCGTCGCCTGCCTGGCCTGGTGGATCGGTGGCGGCTCAGGAGCCAACTTTGGCCTGGCCCTGGTCTGGCTGCTCCTCTTCTCTCCCTGTGGCTACGTATGCTGGTTTCGGCCTGCCTACAAGGCCTTCCGGTAAGTGGGGGCTGGCCATGCCCTTGTGGGGCCTGGGTGTATCTGTGCTGGCAGTGGGCTCAAAGCTGAGTAGCCAGGATGCCCCCAACCACATGTGCCCACCTCCCTGCCGATTCTTGCACTTGGAAGCTGCACCTGCACTATACCGGTAACCCTCTCCCAGGTGCTTGTAATCCTCCTCTTTTGTTCAATTTGAATTACAACTTGTATGAGGGTCTGTGCACAGATAGCTGTTGTGTTACGTTTTTTAATAACTCTTGAGTTATACTTCACATTACATACAACTCAACTAATATATGAGCATTTTTAGAGCCTCCACAAGGTTGTACAACCATCAGCTCCAATTCCACTTACTACCCCAAAAGAAGCCCCATCCCCTTCGCAGTCACCCCCATCTACTCCCCAGCTCATGACACCCACAAAATAAATCCACTGTCTGTCTCTGGATTTGCCTGTTCTGGACATTTCACATAAATTGAATCACACACTGTGTGGTTTTTTGTGCCTGGCTTCTCTCACTGAGCATCATATTGTTCAGGGTCCTTCCACACTGTAGCAAGTGTTAGTGCTTCACTCTTTTTCATGGCTGAGTAATATTCCAGTGTTCATGGATCATATTGTGCCTATCCATTCACCAGCTGAGGGACACTTAGGTTATGTCCACCTTTGGCCGTTACGAATCCTGCTGCTGTGAACATCCGCTCCCATCCAGCTGAGATGTGTCTCTTCTTCACCCCTACATGGTCCCAAAATCCCATCCTTAGAAGGTAGGAGAAGGTCTTAGACTCCTTGCCAGTAAGGAACCCAACAGTGCAGTATCTTCTCAGAGGGGCAGTTTTTAGGCCTCTCATAGTCAGAGCTTGGTGTGAACATGTGTGCAGTAATTTGTGCATGTAGATGCATTTGTTGGCACTTGAAAAAGGGAGAACATTTCATCTTTTCCTGTCCCTGCTTCACACCATCCTCTGGGTTGTTGTCACTGAGAGGCTGGGGCAGCTGTAATGGTTGTTACTCTCCCTCTTCAGGGCCGACAGTTCCTTCAATTTCATGGCATTTTTCTTTATCTTCGGAGCCCAGTTTGTCCTGACCGTTATCCAGGCTGTTGGCTTCTCGGGATGGGGTGCCTGGTAAGTCAGTGAACATGGTCACAGTGATGCATGGTAACACGCAAGAGAGCAGTTTTGTCATTCAGTGAAGGCTGAGGAGTGTAACACAGACCCCAGCTTCTGACGGCTTCCTGCTCTTGTAAATGCTCCAGGGAGGTGCTAGGTTGTGGGGTGGGATGTCTGCTGCACACCAGCACCCAGTGCCTGTGTACAGAGGCTCTGCCTGTGCTGTGCTGTGCTGTGAGTGCTTGGTCACCAGCCATGCTGGTCACGGGAGAGAGCCGGGAGCATGGGCCAGCACTGTGTCCTGGGAGGAAGAGTTCGGAAAACAGCCACCTGTGACCCCACTGTCTAGGGAGAGAGCCGGTCTTCTGTTTGCTTGATTTTAGGGTACTATACAACATTTCTGTGGCTGCTGTAACAAATTATGACCAACTTAGTGACTTATAATGAAACAGACTTCTCATTTCTAGTTCTAGGGAGTTCCCCACAGGTCTCATGGGGCTAAACCCAGGTGTGGGTGGGGCTGATCCTTCTGGAGGCTCCGGGGAAGAATTGTTTCCTGTAGAGGCACCACACCCCTGGCTTGTGGCCCCTTCCTCTGTCTTCACAGACAGCATCATAGCCTCTCCCATCTCTCCTTTCTGCCTCTTGTGAGGACCCTGTGATGACACAGAGCCCCCCAAATAATCCAGAGTCATCGCCATTTCAGGGTATTAACTTAATCCTACCTGCAAAATCCCTTTACCATGCGAGGTAACATGTCCACAGTCCCAGGACCAGGATGTGGGCACCATTGAGGCTGTCACAGACCACAGGTGGTGTCTTCGGCATCCAGTGTTGGGTAGGAGGCATCTGCAGTGGCTCTCTTCGCATGCATACTGCCTGGGAGTGTCCTGATGTGCTTGGTCTCTTGGTTGATTTTTCTCCAAACATCAGAAGCTTATTCTGTCTGAGTAATTATAGCTCCCAATTCAGGGACTTTTTTTTGGTATTGTGTCTCTGAGTCTTGCTCTACTTTTTCTGGTGTTTTCTGGGCCTTGTTTTGCAGTGCCTTTTGGCCATGATTTCCATCGTTTTCCTCTGTCACTTCCTTGTGTCCACTGGGAGAGCCACTGTGACCCGTTCTCCTCAGCAGTGAGAAGTCGTACAGTCTCATTTGTTCCTTGAGGCTCATGTGGGTTTCCATGGCCTCTTCAGCCCCTTCTTCTCAGCTCCTTCCTTACTGTCCGTTTCCTTCTGTCTTTTGCCCTCCCCTGTATGGAGTCTCGAAATCATCTGCTTTTCACCTGAGATCATTTCCAGAACGCATGTTCCTACATCCTCTTGTTGTTTCTCCTTCCCACTCTGCGTGGGACCCCGGATACTGGGTTTCTTCTTGGTTGACACCTGCCTTATCTGGGTCTGGAGGGCCTGTGAGGTACTGCCTTGGGGTCCCCAGGAACACTCCAGGTGTAGGGATTTGTGGCAAGGACCCCAGGACTCAGCAGACAGTTGTCCTCTTGCCTGTGGTTTATACAGAGACAGGACCGCAAAATAAGCTAAGGGAAAGGGTTGTTGGGGCAGGCTGGGGTGGGGGGATCAGGTGCACGCATCCAGAGTCCTTTCCCAGTGGGGTCCCATGGGATGCACTTAATTTCCCCACAACGAGATGTGACAGCATGCAGAAGATGTGATCCCCAGGGTTCTTACTGGGATTGGTCATGTGGACCCGTCTCTGCCTGGCAGGTACAAGATCCTAGATTCCAGGAGGAGAGCAGGTGCTCAGCGTGAGCCATGTGTTTGCACAGGTGTTCTAGAGCCAGGAAGTTCCCCTTGACAGGGAGGGTGTTGGGAGCTCCCAGAGCCCAGATCCCAGATGTCTTCCTATCCTGGTTTCAACTATGTTTAGGCACAGTCACCCTTTTTTCTCCAGGGCTGAGCAGGGGCAGTGGAGGGGGTAAGTGCCAACCATCTGGGGACCTTAGGGAAGAGACTGTCAAAGTGTTTTTCTCTAATGTGAGATTAAAAAGAGGAAGAGAGTAACGATAATGATGGTGGTGCTTATGCAGGTGGGGGTCTGAGTGTTGACTCTTCTGCTCCTCCCCCTAAAGGGGTGTCATTGCCCCCATTCTACAGAAGGGGAGACTATGGCCCAGGATGGGAAAAGTACCTGAGGCCCCATCACTTCCTTTGAGTGTATGGCCAGCAGTCCTTCCTTGCCACCAGTGTTCTGCACTCAGACCCCTGGGCTCGGCAGAGGAGGAATGGAGGACCCTGTGCTTGGCCCCTTGGCCTCCTCTAGGCCTGCTGCCAAGAGTGCTAGGCGGGGAGCTGGGATCCCAAGGTTCTGCAGCTTCAGAAACCTATGCTCACTCCTTCCTGGGTCTTACCCTCCCTGTCCTCCTGGCTCTGGGTGGCCGACAGTCCCCCAGCTGACCACCTGGGGACACGTAGACCTCAGGCTCCCATGAGGACTTCCTGGTGGGGTGGGGGCAAGGATCAGTAAGGACAGTTTCCTGGGGAGACTTTCAACTCATCCTCAAGCAGAGGGGATGCTCCCAGGAGTGCCCCTGTCACGGTTACCCACTCCGGCCGGTCGTGTGTGCCGCAGGCCTTTCACTCCCCGCACACTTGTGGTCTCATTCCTGGGCAGACACATTCCTGTGTCTATGTAGGAGAAGAGTGCTTTAGACTATATTAACATGGTATACATAAACATGACCATGATTTCCATCTCACATCTAAGACTCCCATAGTTCCTTAAACTCTCAGGTGCTCAGCAGTGTTTATACTCTTATATTTCCTGTTGCTTTTTAAATAGCCATTTAACCTTGGCTACTTTGAGGGTTACAGAAGACGCAGAGACAGGACAGAGCACTGCCCTCCAGCTGTCACCCTGACACCTTTGCCTCCACCCAGACTGCAGGCTCCCTTTGCATTTCTGCAGCATTTACACAAGAGCCCTTTTTCTATTCAGGAATCCTTGTATCATTTATTTAGTTGTCACTTTAGCAATGTGTCCACATCAGACCCAGGGGAGCAGTGCCTGTTTCTGTAGGGTGGTATCTCTCTGGCTGTCCCTGATCTGAGGGCACTCCTGCCCGGTGCAGTGTCCCACACTTGGGGTTTTTAGAGTAGTAGCTTTATTGAGATACATATCTCGGACCAAAAATTCACACTTTAGGTGGATAAATCAGTGTTTTTAGTACATCCATAGGGTTGTGCACACATTACCTCTTACCTATTTCCAGAATGTTTCATCACCCCCAAAAGGAAACCCTGGTCCCATCAGCAGTCACCCCCATCCCTTCTCCCAGCCACTAAAACCGTTAATGTAGTTTCTCTCCCTGAGGATTTGCCTGTTGTGGACATTTCACATAAATGGAATCATGCCCTGACTGGTTCCATGGGCATCCTCCCACAAAGTGAAAGGTTGCCAGTTCAATTCATGGTCAGGGCACATGCCTAGGTTGCAGGTTTGGTCGCCAGTCAGGGTGCATGAGAGAGGTACCCAGTTGATGTTTCTCTCTTTTTCTCCCTCCCTTCCCCAGTCTCTAAAATGAATAAATAAGTAAGTAAATAAATTATTTTTAAAAAAATGGAATCACATACCTTTTGTGTCAGGCTTCTCTCACTAAGCATCATGTTTTCATTGGTTCATCGACATTGTAGTGAGTATCTGTGCTTCCTTCCTTTTCATGGCCAAGTAATATTCCACTGTGTGGATGAACCACACTGTATTGATCTGTTTGTCAACTGATAGACACTTGGATTGTTTTGACTTCTTTGCTATTGTTAGTAGTGCTGCTATGAAGTTTCTGTGTGTTTGTGTGGATATGTGTTTTTGTTTCTCTCAAATGTATACCCACAAATGGCATATCTGGGTGACATGGTAACTTTCAATTTTAACCTTCTGAGGAGCTGCCAGATTCCCCCACAGATTTTGCAGGCTGTGTCCCCTGCTGTCCTTTCTCATGTTCTGTCCCCCTTTCCCTGGTTCTGGCCCCTCCAGCCCCTGGCTGAGTGGCTCTGGGGGAACACCTGGAGTGCCCTGGTCTCCCTGGGCTCCGCCCCGTCCCTGCCCTCTGTGCCCAGGCCTCTCTCCATCCTCCTGTTTCCCATGCTGCATGTCTTGGCTTCTCTGGATACAATTGAGGTGCAGCAGGCTCGCTCACTCATCTGTTTGTAGCTGCTTGAGGCCCAGCTGTTCTGAGTGATGTCATTCTGGGTTGTAAATGTGCTTGTTCTCTGGGAAGTGGGCAGTTGCCAGCTCACTCCTGGGTGAGTGTAGGAGGTAGTGCCTCGGAGCAGGCTCTCCATTCCACGTTCCCAACTGTGGGTACGTTCATTCTCCCCAGAGACCACGATCCTTGGTCTGGGGCCCCCACCTGCTCAGCCCCTTGTTCCAGGGCTCCTGATCTGATGGGAGATCCCCAGAAAATACAGTGCTTCTTACCCTCCCAGGAGCCTGAGAGTGCTGCCCCCTCCCTACCCAGTAGTGTCCAGCCACCCCAGCTGCCTGTCCATTTCACTCAGCACCTACCTGAGTCTTCCATTGCCTGGTTTGGCTCACACCCCTCAAAGTACAAAGCAGCATGTATAGAATGTTCCTCCTTCATTCACAGAATGGGAGCAGGTACTCTGTTCACATGTACCTGTAGTGTACATATGTGCACACATGTATGCTTTCATAAACAGTCTCTAGAAGGATACATAGCAAGTACATCACATTGATTCCCTCTAGGCTGGGGAGGGGGATTTGACAGGAGAGAGACTGTTTATTGTATATTTTAAGTTTCCTGAACCTTGAACTTTGTGGTTTTACTACTTGTTCCAAAAAAATGTTCTCAAAAATACCGTATTTCTTGCTTTCCCTTCCCAGAAGCAGGCAGATAAGCAGATGGACATTATTTTTTCTTTTTTTTTTTTTAAGATTTTACTTATTTTTAGGGAGAAGGGAAGGAAGGGAGAAAATGAGAGAAACATCAATGTACGAGAAAAACAGATTGGTTGCCTCTTGCATACCGCTAACTGGGGACCTGACCCTCAACCCAGGCGTGTGCCTGGCTGGGAATTGAATTGGTGATCCTTTGGTTCATAGACCGGCACTCAATTCACTGAGTCACACCAGCCAGGGCAGATGGACGTTATTCTTTATGTGGGCCAAGGATATGCTTGTTTTATAGGACATTGCTGTGCCAATTGAACTTCAGCTTCCTTTCTTGCCTCGTATTTTTCTGTCGTCTCCTTAGTGTTCTGTTGTGTGGCTATAGTATTATTTATATTTTTCTTATTCCCAGGCAGTGGACATGTAGGGTATTCCCAGCTTTTCATTATTTCAAAAGATTACTGTAGCATTAATTCTTGGAAGTAGAATAGTTGGGGTAACTAAATCTTTTTACTGATAATGCCCCATTGACCTCCAAAAAGGGTATACACTACCACTAACAGTGGTATTTGTGCTTCCGTTTTCTCAAACACGTGACATTTGCCTACGTGATGGTAGGAGAACGATGCTTATTCTAACTTGCACATCTTTATTGGGGGGTTTGAGCATCATTTTGTGAGTTTGTTGGACCCTTGGTAGTCCTTGTGAGAATTGTCTTTTTCTTGTTAGTTTGTCAGAGCTCTTTATGTATGGAGGGTAGCTGTCCCTTGTCTGGCAGACACGCTGGTACCCACACTCTCTCTTTCCCCTTGCAGTGGTTGGTTGGCAGCGATTGGGTTCTTCCAGACCAGTGTTGGGGCTGCTGTCATCATGCTGTTTCCGGCCATCATGTTCACAATGTCAGCTGCCATGATGGCCATTGTGATCATGAAGGTAAGTCCTCTGAGTCCTGAGACATCCAGCTTCTTCCCATACGTCCTCTTGCCTGGCACCAGGGACTCATCCCCATTTCAGGAGCAAGAGACTGAGTGTCTCGGAAGGACATGGTCTGCGTCAGCAGGGAAGTCCCTCCCAGGGTCTAGACCCTCAACTGCTCAGGCCAAGACACAGTCTGTCCCATCCATGGTGGTCTTCCAAGGAGGAATGACTTGGGGAAATGGCATAGTGTGGGCTAATGATGACTACATCTCCCTTTAGGGGTGCCCCCTGCGCACACACGTCACAAAGATCTGACCACGCTGGCTACATGTTGCCGTCTGTAGTTAAATTCAAATTAAGTAAAATTAAATAAAACTAAACATCGAGTGTGTCCATTGTGTCCAGCCCATCCCATGTGCTTAGTGGCCTCTTGGGGCTGGTGACTTCACATTGACAGTTTGCAGCATCATGGAAAACTCCCCTAGATTGCACCGCTTCTAATATGTGGGGACTTCCAGCGAGAAACATTTTCGCTGTAGTCCTGGAGGCACTGGCCACTCGAGAGTTGTCCCAGAACCATGTGAAAGCCAGTGGGCGATGACGAGGTTGACGATGTGTCCACCCCAGCCCTCCCAGAGGTGGCCATCTCCACTGCATGCACAGGGGTACTGCTCAGGGAGGCTGCCCGTGTGCTGGGCTGCAGGATTGCCACAATTTTTAGAGCTGGGTGTGGAGTCCCTCCCGGCCTCCTTGCCATGTGGTTCTAGCTGTTCTCGCATGCTTTGAAGCTGGGCTGTTTGATTCGTGCACTTGGTTGTCAGAGAGGACAAAGGAGTGCTTGTCTCCCCCCTTTTGCATCCAAACATCCTTTCAGCTGTAGGACATTCTGAAGGGAAACATCAACACAAACCATGAACGCATTTAGAAATAACCACAGGTGATTGTTGGTGAGATTCCAGAGCAAAATTCATAGGAAAACTGAGGTCGTGTCCAACAGGAACTTCTGCTCAGCAGCAAACATATAACAAATATGAGAGAGATAAGCTGGGAAAATTCCTGCACAGTGTGAGAGAGAAAGGGCTTATGGGCTTAAAACAGGCTGAGTTCCCCCCCAAAGACACAGGTGACTCCCTCTTTTGGGTCCCCAGGGCCACCCCAGGTTCGGAGATTTGCTGGGAAGAGTTGCATAGAAGAAAGATACATTCCCGTGGAAAATGACAAAACTATTTATTTTCACTAGTAATCAAGAATCTCATCCTAAAACAAAGTGCCATTTTCTTGGTTATTGAATTTGCAAGGATTTCTAGAAAGAAAACAGCCAGGTGTTCCCAGTGGTGCAGCTGGAGGCAGGGCAGCACAGCCTTTCTGGGTGGTGGGGAGTCAGTGGTCTGTCCCTAAGGGCTTCTGCTGAGGAAATCATCACTATCTAGTACCCAGTGATGGCTATGTGTGAAATGCAGGGTCTAGGGTCTGACAGTCTCATGTCAAGAGAGCATCCAGTGATCATCACAAGTTTCTTGTGGGTTTCTCCGTGCCAAGCCATTACCTGCAAGTACCCAGGGAGGGACAAGCCCCAAATCCATGGCAGGAAAAACCTCTCTCCATGACAGTTGTACTGTGGGCTTCATAGGACAACAGAGGTTGGCACCAAGAGGCACCAGGGGGCTGTGGCTCAGGGCTTGGTTTTCTGAGTTCATGCTTCGGTTTTAACATTTCCACAAAAACTATTCTATGACTTTTGTAATTCCTTTAAGAAAACCTTGACTTTAAACATGAGTGGCCTCCCCATCGTTCACAGAAGTACTGATCACTGTCCTCTGCCACCACCCTCTGCAGGTGCACAGGATCTATCGGGGATCCGGTGGGAGCTTCCAGAAGGCACAGACAGAGTGGAGCACGGGCACTTGGCGGAACCCACCATCTCGAGAGGCCCAGTTCAACAACTTCTCAGGGAACAGCCTGCCTGAGTACCCTACAGTGCCCACCTATCCAGCCAGTGGCAGCCAGTGGCCTTAGAGGGAACTGACTGGCCTTGCCACCCACCTGCCATTGCCATCCCTCCTCCTCCTCCTCCTCCTCATCCACTCCTGGCAGCCATGCTGGGGCTGGTGAGGCCCTAGTCATCTGTTCCCTGCCTTCCCAGGTGGCAGGTAGGCCCCTCCCTCAGCCAGGTCAGCAGCAGGGTTGGTGGCCACCGGGAGCTCCCTCAGTTGGGATGGCAGACTCCAGGAGCTCTTGGGGACCCATGTTCGTGCTCATCTCACACCCAAGAGAGGAGCTCCTGGCAAGCACTGCCCAGAAGCCGCCAGCTGTGCCATTCGGCAGAAGGATGCCCCTCTTGCTCGTGAAAAAGTTTGGTCACATAATGTCTACTGCCACGCCATACCCTCTCCATTTGGGATCTCAGAGGGCTGACCCTGGGCCTCCCCACAAAGTTGGAAGCAGGTTGGGTGCCCTCCATCCCAGGGCTGGTGATGCTAAGAAGGGCTCTGCAAATCTCCCCACCCCCATTTAGGGCCATCACCCTCTCCCAGTACTCAGGAAGAGGGGGGCCTTCTCAGTACCAGGTTCCCTTCCATGCTGGTGACAGAGGCACTTCATGTGCAGTCAGGTCCTCAACATTTTTATCCTCTTGAGTTCTCTGTTCATTTGTAGCTGGAGGCTCATGGGATAGCTAGAGGCCAGTTCCCCACTTCAGTGCCAGGATCTTCTCAGCTTCTCCCTGTCCATCTCTCCCAGTTGCTTGCCTCCAGCCTCCTTGCCTACATGTCGCTGTCCCCCCAGAAACACGCTCTTTCCCCATAATGGGTGTTAGAACCCCAAGTCCTAGGTTGGTTGTACTCATGCCAGGAACTTTGTAGGATGTCCATCTAGATCCAAAACCTGGGATGGAATCCTTTAAGGGATGGTGTCGGCTTCTCCCCCCACCATGCAAACAAGAAAACGTGCATCTCACAGCGTGCATATGTGGCCTCGAGGTCACCATCATACAGAGGCCTGAGTACTAGGCCAGCCACCACTTAGGCCACGATCCATACCGCCATTTTCTGGATATGCAGAAGCAGGTGTCATTTCTCAGGAGAACAGTATTTCAGGAAGAGACACGATATGACACATCTCTGTGCCTTACTGAGGAATCTGAACACCGTCACTTTTCTCCCCCCAGTCCTCCAGTCGAGCTCGCTCTGAGGTGGAGGAACCGTATGTCCTGTGGGCATTGCCACAGCACTTTTGTGAACAGACTGGCTGAGGGCGGTGTCCTGATGGTCTCTCAGCCTCTTGGCCAGGCTTCCAGTAATGTTGCCCCTCAGCTCCTGCCTGCCTGTCCCTTGGGGCGGGGCCAGGGACCCGTCCCTGTCACAACGTGCTCCACTGGGCTGCCAGTTTTTCAGAAGCTCTGGTACGGCTGGAACGTGTTCTCACACCCACACTTTGGTTTCTTCTGCCCAATGCCACATGGTACCCAAGGATGGCCAAGGTCCCTGAGGGAGCATTCGGGCCTGATGGGGGGTGGTCGCCCGGCTATGGTTTCTTTTGGAACCGTGACCACCCCAGCTGACAGACTGGCCTTGAGGGGGGCCTGGAGGCTTCCAAGGGTGAGTCCTGAACAAAAAACAGCTTTGGTCGGCCAGGTTCTAGGTGACGTCCCCAAGCCAGCTTCCTGCAATTGACAGGTTTCACACTGCTAATTGTGGACTGAACCTCCTTGTGACTGATTGTTAACAGAGCTGATTAACCAGGTGCAGGATGAACGTACATGAGCACCCTTCAACCCCCACCCCTCTGTACTTGGAGCCCTTGTTACATACATTGTAGTAGTTTTTGTTACTTAAAAATATTCTGGAAATAAATACATCCTTTCTGCAGCAGACCAAGCCTCCCGGGGGGGGGGGGGGGGGGCGGGTGTGTGTGTGTGTGTGTGTGTGTGTGTGTGTGTGTACACCCACCCACATCCTTTCTGCAGCAGACCAAGCCTCCCAGGGGCGGGGGGGGGGGTGTTGTGTGTGTGTGTGTGTGTGTGTGTGTGTGTGTATGTGTACATGTACACGTACAGTGCCTGGGCCTTCCCCTGTCAAGTACCTCAGCACCTATGGCCTCCAGCAGAATAAGATCAGGACCAGCCTGTGCACTGCACTCAGACCCAGGTTTTGCTGATGGGCTGCCTCTGCCCACAGACTGCCCCACAGGCACCGGACCTCCCTGCACACCAAGAACAGAGTCCAGCAGTGTGCATCCCAGGCATCTTGGCGCTCATGTGATGTCCACACACCACTGCAGTGTGGTTTCCTTCAGGTTCTTTTAAATCAACTTGTTTTCTTCACATTTAACAGTTTGCATTTGAAAAAGGAGATTCACGGAAAATGAAGAGCCAGTTTGCCTTTGTTATTCAAAGAGCTGAGGTCCGAGAAAACCTCAGTGTATTGTTTGTTGACTCCAAGGACAGGGGTTGATTAGGATTTACGTGTGCACCGGTGGCAGCCAACCAGTGAAGTTTTCTGCCAAGTCCCATCCGGCCTGCAGATGGGCCACACCAGGAGAGGCTGGCAGGTGAAACTTTACGACCACCCAGACACTCCCGGTGCAAGCTTATAGAGTACAGGAAACACAGCAACACGGGGCTTGCAGGGGGAGGAGGACTTGCATGTGCACAAGCTGTGTGAGATCAAAACGAAAGCTGTTCCTCTGTACTTGTTTACAGTCCAGGCTCACATCTGAGAACAGTTTCTGTTTTGTCATTTTTTTAAGATTTTATTTACTTTTAGAAGGGAAGGGAGGGAGAAAGGGAGAGAGAAACATCGATGTGTGAGTGAAACGTACCGGTTGCCTCTTGCATGCCCCCAGCTGAGGACCTGGCCCTCAACCCAGGCATATGCCCTCACTGGGAGTTGAACCGGTGACCTCTCGGTTTGCAGGCCAACACTCAATCCACTGAGCCACACCAGCCAGAGCATGTTTGGCCATTTCTTGACTGAGGTTCTGGCCAGGCTCCTGAGTTGGTCCCACAGTCCACTTACTGATGGCCTTCATCATATTACCTATTACCTATTCCCATAGGGTGGGAGGGAGACTTGGAGCATGGGGAGGGGCCCTGTGTTCTCACATACCGTACAGCTTTCCATAAAGGAAAAATAGTGGTGGATGCAGCTGGACTAGAAGCGACTCTTAACAGGGGCCCGGCTAGAGGACCTCTCCCCAACCCTGGGGCTTGTGGGGGCCTGCTGGTAGCAGAGTGGACATCCCCAAGCACACATGGGACAGAGGGCAGCAATCTCTTATTCCACAAGACACTTCGCCACCGTGGGAAGGAAGCTAGGTCTACAGGAAGAAACCAGACACTGTGTCCCTCCAAATTAACATGCAGAAGTCCTTAACCCCTGGAGGCTTAGGATGGACCTTATTTAGAAAATAGGGTCTTTCCAGGTGTAACTAGTTAAGGTGAGGTCATACCGGAGCAGGATAGCACTAATCCCACTTTATATAAAGAGAACATTGGACACAGACAACACAGGGAATCACCATGTGAAGATGGAGGCAGAGATAGGGATGATACATCTGTAAGCCGAGATCACCAGGGATGCTCGTGCCACCAGAAGCTGGGAGAGATGAGATTAACAGGAAAATGTCAAGAGAAGTGAAGAAATGGGGAGATTGGGGAGCACTGTGCCTTAGGAACAACACAACCAGTGGTGCATGGGTACTGGATTGGGTGGACATGCCTTGAGGACAGAGAGCAGGTGTCCCTGGCTGGGTTAGAGGTGGGCTTGGTGACAGGGCAAAGCAGGAAAAGAAGAAACCAGGAAAGTGAGAAAAGATTAGCAGCAAGGAGGCAGAGGGCACCCAGGCCTGGAGACATGTAAGGACACAGGATGGGGTAAAGCTGAGAGAGAGGACCGAGGACAGTTGAGAAGAGGCTGTTGGCAGGGTGGCCGTGACAGGACCACAGATGGGTGGCTTAAACTGCAGGGATTTATCCTCTCACATTCTGGAGCCAGAAGTCCAAACCCAAGCTGTCCCAGGGGACAGGCCCTTCTTGCCTCCTCGAGCTTCTGGGGGCACCAGCGTCCCTGGGACTGGGGCCACATCACCCCAGTCGCTGCCACCATCTTCACCCAGCCATCTCAATTGATGTTTCTATGTCTTACAAGGACACCATCCTTATATTTGGGGTCACCCTAATCTGGGATGATTTCATCTCAAGATTATTTTTTGTTAATTATTTATTACATTTTTTCCATTACCATTTATCCCCCTTACACCCCTCTCCTCCTTAAAGTCACCACACTGTTGTCCATGAGCCCTTTCTTCTTTTTGCTAAATCCCTCCACCCTCTAACCCTCTCAGTCTTGAGATTTAAAAATATATATATATTTTTTTTAGAGAGGAGGAAGGGAAGAACAGAGGGAGAGAAACATCGATTGCTTGCCTCTCACACATCCCCAGCTGGGGACCTGGCCTGCAACCCAGGCATGTGCCCTGACTGGAAATCAGAACCAGAGACCTTTTGGTTCACAGGTGAGTGCTCAATCCATTGAGCCACACCAGCCAGGTCTTGAGATTCTTAATTATATCTGCAAAGACCCTGTTTCCAAATAACATCCCATTCACAAGTTCCAGGATGTGTATACAACTCTGAGACCTCCACTCAGCCCCTGCAGGGGAACCACTGGCTTTGAAGTGGGAGAAAGTACAAGGCAGCGTGGACTGGAAGATCTGCTGGCCACGCCCAGGTGAGGCTGCACCAAGGGGCTTGGTAGTGGGACACAGTGTTCCTGGGACAGGCCAAGAGCTGTGTTCATGGTGCAGTGGGTGCAAAGCTCAAAGGTGCCTCAGGTGAGGGCAGGAGGAGGGGACCTGGGGACATCTGGGGGAGGGGTGGGCTGAGAAGCCTCCTTAGCAGAATCCAGATGGAGGCACTGACCATGGCCAGGCACAGAAACAGGTCACCTCTAGTGACAGGAGGCTGGTGGACTAGGAGGTCCTGCTACTAACAGTTAGTTTCCAGGTGCCACCTCCTTGCAAGCCTTTCTTTAGCTCAGCTGCCCCCTCAGCTATCTGGGCCAGGTCATTTTCCGTGGGGCTGACCTGAGCATTGTGGGGTATGGAGCAGTATTCTTTGCCCCACCCACTTGCCAGGAGCACCCCCAGTCATGACAGATACCCTAGACATCATCCCGTGTCCCCTCAGGGACAGGATTGTCCCGGGTGAGATCCCTGCTTTAGCTGCAAGGTTTGACCTGGCAAAATTGTTCTTAGTGCAAACAAAGGGCAGCAGAGTTGGAAAAATTAACACAGGGGCTTTTTTTAAGGCATTTTATTTATATTTTTATTTATTTTTTTAATGCTCACCCAAGGACATGCCCACTGATTTTAGAGTAAAAGAGAGGGAGAGGGAAAAAAACATTGATGGGAGAGACAAAACATCAATCAGCTGCCTCCCACACTTGCCACAACTGATAGGGACTGAACCTGCAATCCAGGCACATGCCCTGACCTGGAACCAAACCCATGGCCTTTCAGTTCACAGGACAAGGCTCCAACCAACTGAGCAACATACCAGCCAGGGTGATACAGGTTTGAAAAAAAATATGATTGAGGAAATCAGGTACTAGTTACATAGAAAACCTTGGATCCTGATGGATAATTTCCAGAAGTAATTTTAAGTGTGTGGGGGGGTGATTTGATTATTGATGCTCCATCAACCCAGACCCAGAGCCCTGGGCCAGGGCAGGAGGGAAGTCCACAGTGTGAATGGTGGGGCCTGTATTAGTGCCTGGGTCAGTGTTATGGATGACCCCAAATTGGGCAGCTTTAATGAGAGGAATTCATGCTCTCACATTCTGGAAACCAGATGTCCTGGGTCAAGGTATCACTAGGCCACACTCTGTCTGAACACTCTAGGGGAAGGTCCTTCCTGCCTCTCCCAGCCAAATACGAATATTTATTATGTTAGGATTCAAGACAGAAAATTTATAAACATTTGTTAATGTTGTCATTTAAAAATAGATCATATCTTAACAGTAAAAAAAAAAAAAAAAAAGCCCTGACTGGGTAGTTTAGTTGGGTAGAGCGTTGTCCCGCTAGGCCAAGGTCGTGGGATTGACCTCCAATCAGAGCACACATAAAAAGCAACCAATGGGCCCTGACCGGTGTGGCTCAGTTGATTGGGTGTCATTCTGCAAAGCGAAAGGCCGCCAGTTTGATTCCCGGTCAGGGCGCATGCCTGAGTTGCAGGTTCAGTCCTGAGTCAGGGCATGTGAGGGCGGCAACCAATCAATGTTTCTCTCTCACACTGATGTTTCTCTCCCTCTCTTTCTCTTTTCCTTCCCCTCTCTCTAAAAGTAAACAAATACAATCTTTAAAAAAAGAAAAGCAACCAATAGGTGCATAAATAGGTGAAACCACAGGTCAATATTTCTCTAAAACCAATAAATAAAATTTAAAAAACACAGGTGGCATAGTTTTCATTTTGCAAATTTCTAACATCTGGCTTTACAGAGTAAGACAGCTGGATCGTCTGGTGGCTGCAGCATTCACCCTGCTGCAGCATGACATTTTGACCCCAAGACAAATTGAAGGCAAGATATTTATCTGGAGGGTGAAGGGCAGGAGTAAGTAGGTGGGCATAAATCAACAGGTCACAGCTGTGGGCAGTCTGGGCTCAGTCCCTTTGGGTCCTTTGGGAGGCACTGGGACCCTGTCTCAGGTTGTCCTGCCAAGGGTTGTGGTTGCTTATCCTCCAATTTCTACATAACCGTGCTTGGGGCCTTGACTCTGCCCTCAGGTGGAGAGTGGTAGGTGCCGATCTGACTCCATCTGTGTGTGCGTATATATGTATGCATGTGTCTGTTCAGTGTGCATGTAT